TACTCTATTATTAAAATACAGCAAAGGAGAGTAACGCTTTCAACAAAAAGACGAAGCTCTAGTTTACTATAACATTGTTGCATAGGCCTATGGAACACATGCTTGAATCAATTCCTTCAAAGTTGGTGTATACGTGCTTTTTGGGTGTGGCACATAATAAAAAAAATGTTTTCAAATTGAATTGATAATTTTCTAGCATTACATTAGTTATGACCTTTCCAATGAGACATCACACGAAAAAATCAGCGCATGACAAGTAATCAATTAATTATTTTCAACTTTTGAATTAAGAGCGGGACGCTCCTAATTCGTTATGAATATAGTGGGGCCTTGTAGCCAAGCGGTTAGAGCGTGGAGCTACGGAGCGGACGGTTGGCGGTTCGAATCCCATTCGGACCAAAAACTGGAAAACTCTCCCTGACGACCCAACAGTAAAATGGGTACCTGATTGGTTCAGGGAGGTAAGACGGCAAGAGGAGTGGACTAGGCACCGCCACTCATATGCCGCGCCCAAGACACAGTGGACCTCTAACATCCCACTACCCCTACGGCCAGTAATGGCTATGAGACCTTTACCTACCAGTTTCTGAACTGTAAAGCCAATTTTCAAAACTGTATAAAGGCCTGCAAAACAACCAAGCAAATTTATTTGTTGCAGGACATTGTTTTCCTTTAAATTTTGTTCGGAAAAGAAAATCGAAATTAAAAAAAACACGTATATACCAACTTTGAATGAAACACTCATTTGTTATTGTTCATCAAACCTGCTACTTCTGACCTGACCTGTGATTACTATTTTGAAAAAATGTACACCCTCAAATACCTTGACACAGGATCAGTGGAAGCCACGAAAACGGTCATTATCCTTGATGTCTGAATACCATATATGTACTTAGGTTTGCAAACTTTTGGCAGTATACATAGCCATACAGATGTGCTTGAATTTTATCTTCGGAATTCGCACAACCACTCTTGACGAATTTCAAATGACACGCCAAACCGAGGCTCTAAATACTAAACGGGAGGTTTGGGGACGTTTTTTTCCTGTTTTTAATCCTCACCACAAAGAGAGCACTGATGCCCTCGTTTTCAATGTTAATTTCGTCTATGAAAAACTAAGGAGGGACTGAAGACATTATGTCTGATGCAACTCAATTTTTTGAACAAATCAAAATTGCATTTCATCGTTAACTTTTGCTGCTGAGGTCAATTCAATCTGATAGAAAGGGCCACAATACAATAAACCTATAAACTATAAATGCACACTGCAAAAAAAAGAAGTTTTCTTCTAGCAGCAATTTCGACATGGGAGGACATGTATATTTCTTTTGCCTCTCTGAATCCCCTCCGGGAATTCTCGTCAAAAAGGACACCGAAGGTCACCCAAGGGTCCCCTTCACACGCTCGAGGGATGTTACTCAGTCGGAAGGATATCGATTTTTTTTACCAAAATTTCTGTCAAAAAACGCACAGCTTCGGGCTATTTACTTCATTTCCCTTCATCATTGTTGCAATGAATAATCTACATCTTCCTCCTTATGTGTATCTTGGCATGATGACATAACATCCCTTGACATTGACAGAAAATGATCAGATACAAAATCCCAAATTGTGTTTGCGGAACTCAAAAATATGGTGTAAAGAAAGATTGGCAGGGGAGCATTTTGGTTCAGTATAGTGATGCACCATATCTTTTCTTGCTGCAGAAAGCAGCTCAAGATATGATTATGTCTCTACGTTGGTTAGTAAAAAAAAAAAACTTCAGCAAATGCCTCTTTTGGCATTACCTATGCTCTTATATGCCCATGATAGGTCACTGCAATCTCAAGCAACTTAACAAACGGGATCAAACGCTTGTTTGCCCGCAAGGTTTTCTGTTGTGGCATCCTATTATTAATGTTTGAATAGAATGGCTGTTTTTCAGTACTTGGTATACTGTGTAGAAGTCATGAACTTTCCATGTGATATCACCCAACGTAACAGATGTCACATAGTAAAGTTCCAAGTTTAAATCAAGGCGTCTCTTACACTATTAATGTATACCAATCTTTGTGAACAGCAAAAGAAAATCTTCAAGAGGACCCAACAGAAAGCAGAGTAAATGTTTTTCTTTGGGGGTAAAAAAGTCCCCCCGTATTTCGTTCAAAGAGCAAGGACATAATTATAAGATAATACATTGCAATCTCTTTTGAAAACAAATGTTAATTTCAAGGAGGGAATTGGTGGCTGGATTGTGTGAAAGGTAATAATGATTTGGCAAACCTCGGAATATTTTACACCCCCTTAAATTTCACTTTCATGTCGTTGGTACAAAAAGGCGATAACTGTTATTGAATTCCATGCAAGTTCTCATCAAACTGCAAAACATTGCAACCCCCCCCCTCCAAAATAAAAATCAACCCGTATACAGTTACATTTGGCACAGATGAAAACACATGTTCCTACTTTGAGTCACATAGTGATATTAGCTCCACTAACCCAAACTGACAGGTTAACTTATGGCTTAATTTATGCGGATCCCAATAGTGCTTAAGCAACATCCTGACAGAATGAACTCAATTAATTTCAATTTATGTGGACTTCCTCATCAAGCAGCGAAGGAGGGGTGGGGATGCATGTGCCTAGCCAGCTTGTCTGACGGCTCAAATTTCACATCCATGTGCGTGAAGTCGCGGAAATAATAACAGCTTTGGGCCATTTTTATATATTGCATTAAAGGCTAGAAAACAGTCCATGGTAAGAATGTTGCGTCCTGACGCCACTTGTTTTCATCGATTATTATCTCATTGAAGGTCAGTCATCGCAAAGATGTCGAAAAGATATGAATCTGGGACTGAGAAATATTTCCAATTTTGTTAGAAAATATTTCGAAAATGCACTCCAAATCTCCATCATGTCCGTAGACTTTGTACACAGCCTAAGAAGTGGCGTCTGGATACGATTTTTTTTTCACAGTCCTTTTCTCAAAGCTTGGCTTCGCCTCCCATTCCATTCTGCCTCTTAACCATTTGTAACTTAAGGCCCCAACATGATCGAACCTAATATAAACAGATGCCAGAATGTGGCTTTCTGTGAAAAGGAGAAAAACATCATATTAAGGTGAAATCGCAGGAAACATAAATCTGTGAGGAATCGGGAACTGCGGCCGAAGCCGGGGTTTTAGAGATGCCTGTCTACAGAGAGATCAGCAATGACCATCATTGCCACTACTGCCCGAGTACCAACTACTTGTAGGCCTATGTACTTGAGGCAGGACCAACGCAAATTGCGGTCAATTGACATGCTTTAGGACACGAGAATCATGATCCCTGTAATCATTATTCCTCTTATTAATTAAGTAACTCTATCTCGCAAATGGCACATAAATATAAAGAGTATACACAAATGAATACAAACGTTCCAATATATTCCATTAAATAAAGTCCTTATCTTTGCTGACATGCATCGACAAAAATATGACCGATGTTTCCAAGAATTCCCCAAAACAAAAACTAGCGCTCACTCCCCCAGTCCAACTGTCGTGGTGCTATCGCCTATGAAGGGATTTCCAACAGAAAAAAATCCAATTGACACGACGGCATAATGTACTACTCTAACCTAGCCCAATGGCAGATAAAGCTATATTTTGTCTCATTTAGGTAACTGTTTTGCTTCTAAGTTGAAAATACAAAACAATAAGCACATTGTTTTGCTATATGCAGCGCTCTAAGGAAAAGGGCTAAATATAATTGTGCTTATTTAAGCTTGCCATGTGTTTGTGAAAGACCAGTCTAAATATATATGCTAAGCATGTTATTGAGTCCTACGGAACTGTGGCATGCACGCCATAAAAAAATCCCCACATACTTTCTACAATGTATTTTTCAATTTAATGCATTTTCTCAATGATACTTACAATCTTTACAAGCAGAGCAAAAATTCATAGTTTCTCTTTAATTAAAAAAGACATTATCACTAATATTCTACAAATATAAAAAGGGTATTTGAAAAGCATGTCGTATACAATGTTTACACAATGACCGCATATCTGTTAAATTTGCTGTTTTTAAAGTTGGCTTTGTATACAACCATTTGAGCGCTTCTCGAATTGCAAAATATTACATTAAGGACAATATAGCCTGCAAGCGTTGTACAATGATTAATTTTTTATTCTCATGACAAAATAATTTTACCTTTAGACTGGTAAACTTCTCTTGAAAACTTTGGATAATAATTGATTTACTCTCTTCAAAATGAGAGTTTTCACGTATTAAAAAACCCCACTAAATTCAGAAACTAATCTGATGAGCATTGTGAAATATATAACGACATTTTTGCGTCGTTTTTTTTTTATCATAACACAAAGCTTGCATGCCCTACTTGTCTCGGTACGCAATACATGTGCCAATAATCCAAAGCCGTTTTTTTTTTTTCAAAAAAAATACATGCATTTAAATACACATTCTCCAGATAAATACAAATTACAAAACTGCTTTTCGACACTTACATCAATTTACACCTCTCTGTATTCAAGGGTTATGTACAGAAATATTAGGTTACTAATTTTCGAAAACATGGAACACTATGGGCCTTATTCAGGAGTCGGCCATATTGGATTGAGAGTGAGGTAAAAATCTTCATTTTTGAAACTTGTGTAGATAAATGAAAGCAATGACGTTACAAATTAATACCAGTCTGCTCTGATGAATAATTTAAAATTTGTGATTAAACAAACTCTAATGTTTTAAGCCACATTTAAAAATAAACTGCAAGTGAGGCTATAGTGAATAAATAGTCTGGCGCCATCCCATTCAACAGTGCACAATTACTGAAATACATTCAGGGAACACGACAAAAATGGCCAACTCGTATATAAGGCCCATCTCAATCGAGTTTACCCCTCAATTTGTGAAGTGAAGTGCAAGATCAGTTTGCAGAAGTACATGGCATATTTTAATTGACCTGTTATAATATTTAAATAACACTAAATGGAATGATTTTGTTTTTGCAGGATGTGATGATCGCCGTTAACTTTTTATTGATAGCTTGACCATGTTGTGTTGGTTATGCTTTTATTTCATGAAATGAACCTTTTAACCAGAACGATTGATTATGCTTAGATAGAAATGATGCCTTTCAGTGGATACTTATCTACCTTAAAACACTGCAACTGCTGCCGTGCTCATTCAATACAATGGTATAAGCTAAGATGCATTAACTTTATAATGATCTAAAAATTATCTACTTGATTTGGCATATCAACTTTGGTGAGTGCAAAGGTAGTTCTCTGCGATGCATTGGAACAGGCGTAAAAGGTTAAGATACATTGTATATGCAAAAATGTATTATTTACCACTGAATCAAAGAGTTTTCATTAAATGCCTCACTGTATAGGCCTAAACATTTGCTTACACTTTATATCAAAATGCTGTTATACCATGTAAAAAAAAAATACCTTTGGTCACAATGCTGGGCGCTGTTTACATAAAAAAAAATCCTTCAGAAATACCGAAGAGTCAACATGACACTGAAAATTGCCATCCAATTGCGACAGACGAGCAACATGTCTTGAATAGACCCATTGCATGAAGCAGCCATCATTGAGGTGTCTGTTGTTAATTTCATTCATTACCAATTAAAGAATGCACAAGATGACTATTCTTGCTGCTATCCACTATTAACAAAAGGAAGTACCTCAACTATGGCTGCAACGCAAATGGTCGATCTACAGCCCTTTAAAACAGAACTACATGTATTTGTGTGTGTGTGTTCAAGTGGCTGTCTACGTTGTCCACTTGTTCCGTCTACTGATCCCCAGCACTCAGCGGATAATCTTGCACTCCACAGCTGCGATAAACCCAGCCTCAAGCGATGTACCTCTCCTCGCAAACAACAACTTGGCTTTCTGACTAACATAGCTTCTCAGTAACAACAAAATCCAACTGCATCCTTGCTTGACTTTGTTTGAAGACATTCCACGACTTTCGGCGGCCACCGTCTGTGCATGGCGCTCTTATCACGGCGAATCAAGATACACTCCACAGCTCCACACTTAACTTCCAAAATCGTTAGTTTTTCCTAGCATTACCGATACCGCTGTCATTACAAGCAACTAAATAAGTCTGCGTGCACAGTGCTCCATCGTCAACCACTTTACAAACTTGAACACTTCAACGTTTCATCAAGCACTTGTCTCTAATTGACCCTAGCAACACCGCTTCCACTGGATCCACAAGTCTTCCATATCAGGAGTGTTTTAAATAGTCTGTTAACTGAACGTCACTGTCGTTACAATACAATTCTGGCTGGCCTGCTGACTAGACGAAGCCGTGATAATGCTTGGAAAGTTGGAGAGGATTTCTTGAAAGTCATGTCAAAAAACGTTCCTTTAAGATCGGCCAGCCAGTTGCTATAACATTTTAAGAGAGTCCTTACTCTGCATTCCCTTATACGAGGACCAGCACCCTTTCCCATCACATCAGTCGGTCAACTGAAAATAAGAGTTTTGCAAAAAAAATATAAGTTAATGCAAACAAGGGAGTTGTATTCTCAGTATTCGAGGATATAAGCAAATGAATTCAGTGAAGCAACTTATTTGAAGCATAGATTTCGGAAAGGGGCTACACACCAACTCTAACATTCGAGAATGATAAACTAACTTCATCAAGACAATTAATCCTCCTAGCGTGATTACTGTTATTCCAAACACACGAAATCTAAACTGAAGGCACAAATCAGATTTTCCCCAGAAAGTAATGACTACCAGATCCTCAAACATTATGGCTAGATCTGCGCTTAATTATGTGACAAATCATTCGCTTGTATCTCTCTCCACGCCTGCTCTGTCGCGATTACCTAAATATTATGACTCGCTTTACACTCACGAATACCGTATTCAAGTAAAGCAGATATCCCTAAATGAAAAGGGTGAATTCTTGTGAATATTTGTCGGTACGCGGTGACTAGACAGCTAGAATCCTAGTTCCCCCCCCCCAAAAAAAAACACACCGTAAACCTCTGTATCATTGTCAAACCTGACGTGTGTTTATGGAGTGCATACGTAACTGTGTACATGTAGTATATTTTCTCGCGATACTGGAAACATGCTAAATTGAGCTAAAGATTACGTGCATAATGGATCGCACATGCGGAATAATTTGATTTCTACAAAATGTACCAGTTGTTGGCTAATATAGGTCAAGCAAAACGATATTTCTCCAAGTGAAATGGAATAGATTTGGAGTATTTGTCTTCTTTAAAGTCAATTCATGTACAGGGTGACCCCCAAAAAATGCGAACCTAAAACATTTGCCTCTTAAAAAAAACAGGGATCAGTAGATTTGTGTGGTTTTGGTATCAGATTAAAGCTGAGAGCTTTGTCTTTCCAATACTGAAAAAATCATGAAAATAGCACCAAGGGATGCTGAGAAAATGCCAATTATGTAAAAGTAGTAATTTTTCATCCTGTACACAAAAAATTACCACAGTAAGTGATTTTCATTGTACCTATGTGTGCATGTCCTAATCCTTACAATAAACACGGCACATAATATGACGAGAACAAATACATTTGATGGAAATACCTTTTATTTCCACCTGAACAGATATCTCATCCTTTTCAGTCCTATTTTAAACCCTTTCGGCATCATAAACATGTCAAAATACTAAAGAAATTGCACAAATGAAGGATAATTGCATAGTAAGCTTACAGTAAAATGTTTTACTGCTTAAAGTACTTGTGTAGGCCTACAGGATGAAAAATGACTACTTTTACATAATTGGCATTTTCTCAGTAACCCAAAGTGCTATTTTCGTGTGTTTTTTTCCCCAGTATTTTAAAGAAAACGCTCTTAGCTTTAATCTGATACCCCCCCCCCCAAAAAAAATTCCACCGATCCCTTTTTTTAAAGGCAAATGTTTTAGGGTTGCATTTTTGGTGTCAAGAGGAAACAATGCACGAGTGGCAAAGTAAAAATCTATCGAATCACCAAAATACGTTGCGACTTTACAATCCATACCGATGGTTCAGAGAAGTTGCAATCAAGCCCATCAGCAATCAATCACTGATGGCAAATTTCAAGTCGGGTCACAAGTTGAACAATCAAGAAGGAATTAAGGCTTTGGCAAAGCTCACTTGAGTTGAGACTTGACTTGCGATATGACATGTGCTTGACTCGTGATGAGCAACACTGTGGTTGAGACACTAATATTTTAAATATTTCGTTTTGAGTTTCGTCATGATCAAACATGAATCAAAACATCCATTGTGAATTCGAGGATAGGAGACTAACAGATGCTAAATGAGATTAGGAAATTGTTACAGAAGAATGTGTTTCAGAAGAGGAGCACATGCTTCTACTTTTACAAACGGTGGCAAGGGATGATGGATGGAAATAAAGATACTTACTGAAAGGGTTGGGGCCAGATGGAAGTTGTGAAGGGTTCCCTGGAAAACGAGAAACAAAGTAGAGCAGTTGGGCTTGGTTAGCCAGGGATATGAAACATGCAGGGACATTAAGCAAGGGTTTGTGACTGTGTTAATAATGATGAACAAGGAAGTCTCACAAAATGAATTATTTAACAAAGAAGAGGCTACAGTATCCTTCGCTTAAAATGGATCTGCTTCATTTATTGCTCCTTAAAAGAGACCGTCATCGATTTTGGTAGGGGGAAGAGAAAAATACTTTTGGTATATAGGGCAGTGCAAAAAGAGGGAAACCCACTTTTGACAGGAATTGTAACCTACCTTTTAAAACTTATTTGAACTGTGTTTTTTATAATGTAGTGAACTGTAGCTCTTAAAAAAACGTTTAAAAATCGCAAAAATAGTGATATTAATTTGAATACAAGTCATCAAAAACACTGTTGTACATGTGTATAAGTCTAGTGTCATGTTTTTTTTGTCTTCAAATCAAGCTCCGGAGCTCAGTCAAGCGGATGGTAAAAAAGCCGTCCGTGGACAAACATGTTTGGCACATGAAATGTTTTCATATTTCAGAGAAAAAATTTGCATTTGCAATATTTTTTCATCACTTGTATGTTTGAAGATCAATATTTTAATGCCATGAACTTGAATTTTTGAAATATGCTCAACAACTACGTGAATATTGCTGTTCAAAACGGGGTTTCCTTCTTTTAGCACCGCCCTGTATTTGGCCATGAAAATCACTTTTACACAGTTCCCTCACTAACGTCACAATAACCTATAATACGGCCTTTCAATTTGAAAAACAAAAATCGAACCGTGCGGAAATTCAACAACTTTGGAACGAATTTCAAATCTTCACTTGTACAGATTGCAAAGGAAGTTCTACGTGGTTTGATGAGCACTGAGAGTGAACGGATTAGAAGGGCCATCACGGTGTTTCAGATGCTCTGTTCTCGTTGTTATCAATATTTCTTTATCGCCATTGGCACTTGGGAGATCCCTCCATACACAATTTGCATGGTTGGGCATCGCCCCCCCCCCTCCCCCCTTTTAAGCTATCTACAATCTAGCATGCGGTGAAGGACGTCGGGTTATCTGTTAAAAATGAATGGCTCTAATGTTTCGATTTGGTATCTAAATGAGAAAAGCATTAATGAATTTAATGTGACAGAATGGAAGTAGATAGCCTAACACTATTCATGCACGAAAGTACATGTATGACCACAGCAGAAAAGACAGATAAGGTGAAGTGTTTCATATGAAAACCATTTCCTCTGCTATACTCCTCAATGATTTCAGTTCTCGGTTAAAGCTCCAGCGGCGTGGCAAGTGTTCTCACCATAGGGGTGGGGGTGGGGGAGGTTGAAGGGGGGGGGGGGGTGGGTGGCTGGGTGGGTGTTACAGTGGGGGCCTAGTGGTTAGAGTTTGGGACTCGTGATCAGAGGGTCAGGGGTTCGAATCCAGCTGCTGGCCATATGTTGCTTCCTTGGGCAAGCCACTTCATTCCAAATTGCCTCTCTCCACCCAGGAGTATACATTTTGTACATGGGTACGAGTAAACTACGATGGACTAGCATCCCGTCCAGGGCGAATAGAAATACATACATACACTTCAGTGTTTCATGCTGTTGAAACCGGAGATAAACGCCGGCCTGTTGGACCACATTGGCTCGTGATAGACTTTTACTTCACTTTTGTTGTTCTGTTTTCGGGGATATGGTAAAACAATCTCTCTGTCTGTAAATTCCGTCGTCTGACATGATCATTATATTCGGGGGGGGGAACAACGCTCGAAATAACTGCAACCTTTGAACGTCTCCTGCTCCACATTTTTGATGTATGAGAAACGATTTACAAATCTGTGACAGACACCTACCGGTTCTCACTTCCAGGCACGTCAGCCATTCTCCCATAGACAAGTCCTTGTTGTCGTCCTCGTCGCAGAACTCGATGAAGTTCCGCCGGCATTTCTTGGAGGCGGCGTTGATCTTCTTGAGTTCCTCTTTGAACTCCAGGTACTCCCTCCTCTCCAGCAGGTTGTTACCGCTCACGTCCATCTGCTGGAACTTCCAGCGCGCCACTCGTTCGGGCGACGTACTGCTGTGCCAATATGAGAATGCAATATGTCAAAATCGAATACAAATATTCTGTAAAACATCTAGTTAGATTTGACTAGAACAGTCAAACTTGCACCCAAGCTGACTACTGCTAGGGTCAGCTGAATGTAAATCTAGTCAAATTTAAGTGTAGTGTTGTCAGAATTCATTACAACTCGACAGATGTACATATATTATCAATATACTACTTGCTCTTTGGACTTTCTCGGTATTATGTTATTTCCCTTAAAATAAATGAAGAATATCAATAAATGATTTATAAATAAATCTAAATCAACCGCAAAAAATAAATAAATAAATAAATCAACCGAAAAAATTAAAACAAACGTTGACGCTGGTTGCCAGACGAAATTTCTCGTGTAGTTTTTACAAAGTGGTGAATACATTAATTATTGCGAAGTTGAGGATGGAAACATGTGGAGTGGGGGAAGCTGAAACTAATCATATCCTTGAGTTCGAAACGCATTCATTTTTTAAACGTAACTATTTCACGTTTTACTTATACTAGTTCATAAGTACATCTGGACTTGTGCTTGATACACTAATTTTGACTCATCGCACTTTTTTCTTGACAGACATGAGACTTTTATTTAAGGTATCTTTCATCGCCACGTGGTCCAAATGATGCCGACTGGTCACACGCATCCATATTGTTTCTATTTGACTATTTCATGCGATATACATGTAAATAGGTGTGACGACTCCATCGCAAAGAGAACTACAAATCGAAATGGATATCTTGATTCGTTTCACACATGTGTATGTGTGGCCTTGATGTTCAATGTCATTTCAATAATGCATGAGGGGGCGCGCATGGCGCATCAGAAACTGGGGCAGGCCTAATGAACATGCCCTAGCTAATGCATAAAGCAAAAAATACCAGCCGCGACCATTTTTTGTTTACCTCGCATAAAACGAGTACCGTCTTTTTTCGAGTGGCAACGATGTTTATTCCCACGAATAAATCAACAATACTCAGGTATTATAAGAGAGAGTTCGTGTAATTCTTTATTGGTTGTAAAATCTTCGATGACAAGAAAGTGCTGCCTTTGAGACAACGTAAATAATGACTTTTAATTTAAAGCATAAAGGCCCCTATGGGCCCTCGAGGAAAGTTCACAAGTTGGCAGCAGGTTGCACCTTCCATGACTCATGCATCACGGCGCAGCAGGCTCCCTCGCTCTTGACGTTTGCTCCAAGTTCATAACATATTTTGCGGGCACTTTTTCCTACTTCCACCTCAATATTAAAAACAATAAATCACAGCCGGGAGCCAAAGGTATAGCTTCCACGGAATGCGTGACTAAGTAGTGCAAACTATAACTTGCTATTATTGAATCTGGTCTGTCAGTAACAGGCCACTAATGTGGACGTGTCAACAGGCAGAATGTCAAGACCTGTTCGGGTTCGCAGTCGGCCCCATACCAACTCCACCTTCTCTGCACTCTATCAATACAAGTATGTCTCTCAGCCTAGACATGTTTGCCATTCCAGTAGCATGTCTGCACGACCATAGATAGTTAAAGGTATTTTGGACAACATTTGCAAACAAAAGTCATGTTTGGAACGATAATACAATAAAACTGAAGTAGGTTATTAAAACTAACTTGTCGAAAGTTCAGCTCAGTGGATATACTTTTTGAGAAAACTGTGAAAATGCATCTTCATTTTCTCGACGTAAATCAAGGTTTTCGTTCAAGGCCCTCCCTTCCAAAATGTTAATTAATGCGTTTTTATCAATACATGTACATTTATTAGGTTTTACATCACCCCGAAGTTAATTCCATCTTATGAATAGTGTAATACGTTCTTACTTGCACCCTCTTGTGGCATATGATCCCAGTTTGTCAATCGGGAAAAAATGTCATTTACGGATACGTAACCGATTGCCAACTAAACTAAATTCGAAAAATTGGGGGCAGTATTTGAAAAAAAGCTTGTGTTTTTTTCTTCTCGCGATGTTTAATTCCTCTTGACTTGAAAATTACAGAATAATAGGTGCAACGGATGACAGGATGCTTGATGCTATTATTTACGCACAGTCAAGTTGGATATTTTATATTTTGGAAGTTTCGTTTTTGAATGTTTGCAAATGTTGCCCATTGCCTTTAAAGTCAATGTCACTGATATTAACACCTGTTCATACCTCAACCAAAAAAAATGTAGATTGGATTGGTTTGCAGAGAGCTTGAAACATAGCCATGTTATAAATGGTACGGGAGACAAAAGGCCACGATGTGCTGACGGGTGTCTAGACCGGCTGTATGCCAAGATCGATAAACAAAGCGCGGTGTACGATGGGCCTATTCATTATTCTCATACAAAGCCCGGACAGGTGAGAGTAAGTTTTCACCTGTAATCACTTAAACGCTTTTCGAAACAACAAACAAGAATACATCATTCTGCATGCAAAGCCGAGTTGTGAGTGTTCAGATATTGACTATAAACCTTAATTATTTACAATAAATGCGCAAAGGGTTTACTCATTCCTATCTCAGAGCGATCTTAACAAGGGCGGATCCAGGGGGGGGGGGGGTGAATGGGGGCCATGCCCCCTCCAAAAAAACTGACCCCCAAACAACCGAACTTAATTTTTTTTTTAAGTGACGTCGCAATCAAGGCAGGCATCTTTTCCTCAAAAATAATTGGTCAAGGTCAGAAATTGCCTCAGATCGCACCACAGAGCATCTAGAATCCAAAAAAATTCGGTCCCCTAATGAACTTCTGCATGTAGCACCTCTAAAATCTAGGATATGAAAGTCCAATTAATAAGCTTTCTTTTAGTACAAGAATCATTCAAATCACTCATGTACTTTTCAAGTTACAAAATTTTGAACACCAACAGCGTTTTAAGGTTCTGTCCACAGATCACAACAACGACAAGTGTTCTTTCAGCAAAACGAAAACAATTCGCATAATTATATAGGGATTTATCAGCGTCAGCATCAGCGTCCGAACTCGCTGCTCGAGGCATCAATGCTCCAGACACGATTGAGGAAATTTAAAATCTACAGTAGTTGTATTTTAAGTTCAGAAATCAATCTGTCAAAGTTTTGGGCATGGGGAGGTTTGGCGGTGGTGGTGGTGGTGGTGGGGGGGGGGGGCTCTGGCCCGTCCTGTGCCCCTTCTCCGTAGAACCACACCTAATTGTCAAAGGTTTTGCCCGGATGAACTTACCCATCTATTATAGAGTCATCTATCGACATCTCTGCAGTAAACATGTCCAGTAAAATCTCAAAGAATTCTTCCTTCTTGTTACCGCTACAATCTATTAATGCACAGAGGAAATACGAAAATAAAAAAACATTTTATAACGAATTCATGAATTATAAATTGTGACATTAGCTGTAGGAATCATACAGAGAATGACACACGTGTTAAAAAAAAATACCAGGGGCTCCGTGTGCCTCTTGGGAAATGGGTTAATCAATAACTTTTCTCCTTGGCGTCTTGATTGAATGCATCGCCAATCACCCAAACTCCTCTGCTGACGAACTGTATGTTGGTGCCTAGTTTCCTGCAACTGTCACCGGCAGGCCGGCTGTATAGTTTGCTAAGACACGGGGAACCGGAGGTGAAGATAATGTGCCAGTTTCGTTGAACTCGCACCGGGAGTTTCAGTCATGTCGACAACGGATTGTTTCCGCAATTAGCCCGGCTGAGACATTCACGCAGTTCTCGGACATCCTGGCACGCCACTTCGGATTCGTGACTGTGTTACATCTGGAAAGGAAAACTCTTGTTGTTTTTTTCCACTTCGTCAGTAAATCATAAAACACCGGGACGTGTGGAATGCTGGAACGATGAGGGGGCACAACCCCGCGACTACATTAAAGCTTCGTGCGATTCATTTATCGGACATTTCTGTCGTTAACGGGCTGCTGGCCGAACCATAAAACGATAAGCGGAAAATATGGACTATTAAATTTGTCTTTGTGCGTTATGAATATACTTTGAACAAAGAAATAGAGACCCTATCTGTAGTTGCCTGCGCAAATAACTACAGCGGTACCACAAAATGTGTTGCCATCCGATGAATGTCACCACTACATTTCTACAGTACAGAACAATCCACAGGAATCAAGGGGGAAATCAGAAAATCTACCTTTTCACGACGAAATAAAAAATTGCGGGAGATGACATTTGAAAATAATGGAACCACTGATATTTTCCTGCATTGGTTGTAGGGAAATGTCTTTTTTGTTCGTGGGCTCAAATGAAACAAAATAGTTAATGTAGAATACAAAACGTTTTTTTTTATAATTGTTTTGTTTGCTTAAGCATGACTCATGCTCTTTTTCTGGACCGGAGTGATGTCATACTCCGATGAATTATGGCATGTATTCAATGTACATGTACATATTTATCTTTCATATATACATATATACATATTTAATGCTTAACACTAGCATATTCATTTGTCTTGACATCGCCAGGAAGACTGATTATATTGATGATTGACGTCTTAGGGATGCATGTTATTAGCGCATTAAAGTAAAATTAGTGATATCATTTCAAGGCTGAACTTGAATGGATATGACTTAAGTAATATGGTTTGATTTACATATTGTCTATCTATACTTTCAAAACACTAATTGATATATACCCCCCCCCCCGAGCTGAACAAAGAAATTGACTGGAGCGGGGTTTGAACCTGCGACCTCAGACTAACTCATTTTTACATCAACTCATATACAGTTAACTAACGTCTTTATAAGGTCTACTATGTGTAAGGTTGGGCGCCGATATTGACCATGTCTTAATTAAAACAGGGACTTCATCATTCATGATAAATAAACGATGATTCTTAAAGATTTCTAAGATGCACCCTTTGAGATCACAAACAGTTTAATTAGTAGCTATCATATGTAATTCGTAAAAAATGCTTATAAATTACGTTCTTGTCATTTGTTTTGCACAATGAAACATCTCTGTTTTTCAACCCCGAAACAACCACCAAGCTTCATTATTTACACCGTCAGACCGTCAAGCAAACAGAAGAGCATCATCACGATGCAATACACGTATGTCCTTGGGCAGGATATTTTGATGCAATTCATCATTCCCCAACCAATTAGGAGCTAATTGAATCCTTGAGGGCGATGGTGTGGCAACAAGCGTCAAATCCAATTGAGGTCGGTTCATATATTGTACTTCACGTGAATTTCAGAGCGAAACAAATTCGTTATAGAGGAACAGTGAACGTCATTATGAAACTGCAATTGTTGACGGCATGAAATTGGCGCCACTTTCGCCTTCACTTGGTGTATAAACCGGCCGCAAATGTGTCTTCTGCACTAGCAAAGTCATTTGCCTTAATACCTTAATTTGCTTTCTTAGACTGAGTTTAATCAAGTCCTATACTGATCGAAAAAAAAACCCAAAAAACAAATGCCACCTTTGGCTTTGGAGGATTTATTTTAGAGAGAACTTTAAGTCTGAGAACCATTTCGTTACCCATTGACGCGAGCGCATTATGGTTGCAGGGGAAAAAAAAAATTGCAAACCAGCCCGAGGTCGAACATGGCGCTCCTACACCGTGGAAGCTGAGAAATGGTCTCTGAATGACTTGTTCATTTGCCATTATTGCATGTATTAACAAGTAGTTGAATAAACAGAAATTATAGTAGAATAAGCAAAGAAAAAAATATGTTACCTTATGAAATAAAAGTCAGTGGAGACACATTACGTTAATGAATTCACACTGGAATTGGAATATGTAAAAAAAAAAAAACCACTATAGTTAGTCACAAACAACATTATACTCAATTCCATCTTTATCAAACGGAAGGTTAAAAATGTAAAATTGCGTCGCAATCATTCATTTCTTTTATTCTCTTCATATGAGAAGGGCATTTGTTTTATTCTCTTCAACGGAGAAGGGCATTTGTTTTATTCTCTTCACATGAGAAGGGCTTTTCGTTAATTAAAAGTAACTTCAAATTTACGTATCTTGGTTGACTTGAAGACAACATAAAGATTCAAGGTGATTTGTGAAAACAATCACCAAAATCGCAAGCCTGCGCAATTTGAGACTCGCGTAATTCCAGCACACTGAAAGGTTACCGGTGATAAAAAGTACATTTCACAACCTTGTGTCACTGACGCACATCGGCGTTGAATCACTGCTCTTGTTCTCGTCCGGTGACATTTCAAATCGGATTTCATGCTAATTGGCAAGAATTCGAGCTGTGCACTTTACGACAAATACCAGGGGTGCATGCGTGCATGCATTACCTAAAGTGAGCCTAGGTTGTTAGCAAAAGTTGATACTGACCTTTCGTGTCCAGATTTAAAAAACAATTTAACCCTGGAATCATGTGCATGCAAATTACAGGAAATAACATTGGAATGCATTTTATTTTTGGCCTGTCCAATCGAGTTATAGAGATGAATTTTGACATATAGTCCAATTCATGCGAAGTATCTCCAAGGGCGATGCCCACATGAATGTACTTTTTTTTTCTGAATGTAATTTAATGTAATTAGGATTTACAATAGTGGACAGTAAATCTTAGGTAAAGTTACTGTGAATGCATCAAGAAAAATGACTCCCTCGAAACGAGTTCGGATGAGAAGGGCAAAACCTAATATTGATTGACATTGTAAATTATTAACAATTTTCATCCAATGTTGCTACAATGCGCGATGGTTGTTGTAAGTCAATCACAAGTCACACAGTCTCAGATCAAGTCACAAGCTATTCACATGAATATTAGGCTATGACAAATTTAGTCCATTCTTTTGAATTTGTTTTCCTTCCCGTTACCTGTCATTAATTTTGACGTATGAGTTGATTTGTAACAGAACTTGTGGGAAACTTGTAATTGACGCATACAACTCCCTGATCAGAGAAGTTTGCACGACATCCTTGGTCCATGTTCAGACAATCATTGCTCAGGCAGCTGTCTTCACAGCTGCCTCTCTCATGACTTGATCGCAAAGACTGAACTCTAGACACGGCGTTGAGCTGCGGCTGTTAAATTTACTTATAGACAAAAGAAGTCTGTTGATAGATGGAGCGTAAAGCGATGTGAAAGTATATGCAATCAGTGTATAACTATCAGCACGACATTCTACCGTAGAGTTAGGAAAATACACTGCCTCGACCCATTGAGTAAGCTGGGCCTATTCCATGTGTCTTTAAATTCGCCGAGAGTTGCGAGAAAGAAAACAAATGATTGTCCATTTATATTTATTTCATTGTAAAGTTGTATAACTCCAAGATAGCAGACGATGCCCACATTTTGGCGCGAACCCAGTTATGGTTATAAAAAATTATATGTCAAGTTAAATTATCTAACTAGTAATTAAATTCTTTTAAAATAATTGTGTGAATTGATTCTATTGTCGTTTAAGACCAACTAACAATATGTCCCTCTTAATACAGACAATCGACAACAGTACAGATGAATGTGCCGCAGAAGCTTGTGTCATACAGGCATGAGTCATACAGGCATGATATATTGTCCTATATACATGTACAATTCCAATTATTTCTGCTGAACATTCAATTTCCAGCACTGTTTAAAATAATAAGTAGTTGAGCGGTCTGAGAGATGGAGTATTGTGCTGAATTGTGATGGAAATACAAAAATACTCCCAGATATCTGTTTGTACGAATTCTTAAACCTAAAAGAATTAAAGATGTTTTATCCTTATTATTTTCGAATTTGAAAAAAAACCTTTGAAGAGCCTGGACAGTATTAGCTCCACGCGCAAACTTTCAACAATCATGTTATTGACTGTAAAAGAATCACCCCACATCCGACGCGCACAGTATAGACCTGCATATAAGTACCACTCCAACGTATCACATTATGTGCGTATAATTATATACGGATATCACGTACATGTACATTCCGAACCACGAAGTACACTATTATTTGAGGTATTCGCCTCCATTGTTCGGGCAGAATTCCTTCATTTATTTTCGGGCCGATCATTTAGGTTATCAACATCCATACGCGCGATACGTTATCAGTAAATAGGGGCAAAAGTACACATTAAATCTGTTATCGTGTTCCTGCCATTGTCAGAGGTGCTAAAGTTTCTGAAACAGGAGTGAAATATTGGCTGGCAAGGCAAACAAAACACGTGTGGATTGGTGTGGTGTGAACCAGACTATATTTTGTTTTATGGTATTGTCTAAATCTGTACGACTGTATACAGACGTTGTAGGCATAGGCCTAATGGCCCAACTGTCAACATGCAAGTTCTTTTCTTTTCCCGAGGCTAATAAATCCAGGATGTTCTCGCTATAAGCCCAATAATTTAAAGTAGCATTAATACGAGATATCCGCGGAGGCGGCCCGTGGTAACTATGTTTCGTGATTGAAGGGACAACTGGGATTTGGGCCTAATTTCCCGCATTCTTGGAATGTAAAAATAAAGTGTTAGTGATCCTCAACAGGTTCTTTTCGTGGGCTACATGGCCAGGGGGCAACATTTTGAAAGTTGAACGAACTCCAACTCTTTTACACCCGCGAGCATTTTTGTTTGCCATCCTAAGATACGTTCCAGTAAACGATAGGAGCTATATAGGACTAGGCCTACCTTCTTTATTTTTCAGCATTAAAGAAAACAAACTATGGAAACATCCATGATGTGAAAAGTAGTTACCCGAACAAGAGTTTGAACTTTGCTGAACTCGACACGCAAATAAATACAAGGTATGATAATGACGGAGCATACAATATGGGAACAAAGGTGGACATATTTTAAATATTTCAAAGTATGCTTTGAAAAGAACGATTAAGTTTGGAATACACAACGGAATGGGAGGCATTATCGAAAGTCATGATCCTCCGAGCCACTTTTTACTTAGGCACAAAAAAGTCCCGTGCAAATATCGTAGAGCTTGGGTACGGTAGCCCTATGCAAAGACGATCGACAGAACGTCCCTCCTTCTCGCGTCAACGAGAACTGCATATAATTTTAAGGAATTCGGGATATACCTTCAGCACGTTCAGCCGGGGTGCATACCTTTGTTCCCCAATACTTATGTTCCCCAATACCGATGTTCCCCGAAATCCTTACCCTTACCCTAACCCTAATCCTATAAGATACCTTCAGCACGTTCAGCCGGGGTGCATACCTTTGTTCCCCAATACTTATGTTCCCCAATACCGATGTTCCCCGAAATCCTTACCCTTACCCTAACCCTAATCCTATAAGATTTCGGGGAACATCGGTATTTGGGAACATAGGTATTGGGGAACATCGGGTAGACCCCTTCAGCTGAGAGCTCGAACTTTTACAAAACGGGCCGGGAGCAAGAAATTTAAATGGGACATGAAGTGCCTGATTGGGCGAAGTATACAATATCGAGAGCCGAATCCAGTTTAATCAAACAGGTAGTAGGTCACAGCGATCAACTGTATCTTAAATTCCTAACCGGAATGCAGTTTTCTCAAGGATCCGAAAACAATTCCATGCCATGTTTCAAAAAGTGATAACCGGATTTCAGCCTCCCCCCTTATTAAAACTCCATTAACCTTAGGCAGGGAATTGCGAAAAAGAGATTGTTGGCCCACTTTATCATCATAGTTCATCATCAAATGAGGCATAAAAGTCCATTAATTTACTGTGCAAACAATCCGCACGGTGACATAGTTCAAATGTCGGGACGATAACAGATTCACAGCGCACGTGTGCATGCAAGTCATTTACAGCCAGGGTTTATAATACCCATCATTGAAACATATAATTACAACAAGCCCACAGACTCGAATCTCTGATAACTGCACTGAACACTTGAGCAAATACCATCGGCAAACACAGGTGGCAGGAAGGTCCCACCTCCAGCCTGAAGAATAACAGAAAACGGGGTCTTGTCAAAATGACACGGTATTTTTGCAGTTAGGAGAGGTGGCTTGTTCAAACACAATTAGGAGATGATGCCGATCAGCTCGGAAGGGGGCGAGCTGTTTGTTACACCTGTATGACATTGACTTTAGTTTCCCTGTCAATAACAGCCCCCAAAGTACGCTCATAACGTCAAACTAACTTAATTTGGACACCACATCCTGGTACTACAGGGTTTCATATAAAAGATGCCGATCTCACGGTTTTCTGTCTTCAGGCGAATGGGTTCGAACCCAGAGATGAGAATCATATCTTTGTCCTTCAACAAGACATAATATAATGATTACATCTCCCCCTGCCCCTTTCAGGGACAAATAGGGGGCAAGCCGGGACAACTACGAACTCTTTGTTTTGCTGGGTTGTCAATATCTGAAAAGAATTGGAATTAATTGATTGAATAATTGGAATTGAATGACGTCGGCATTTCTTGACTTGTTTTCGTCCATTTAAATGGAAGTAAAAGTATCATTGTATAATGTATATCATGCATTGATCATGTGTGCATACTGTTAAGCGTTTGTTACATGAGGTTTGAAATGTTATTCCTTATCTGAATACAGTAATAAGGATGTTGAGAAGGGCACCTACTGATAACACGTTTTTAAATCCCTAATTAATGTCCGAAGTATTAAATTTAGATATTTTTTTGAATGGCTACAAGGCCAACATAAAGCTTCACTTACATGTACTTAATTCTGAATCACAACTATGGTATTTTAATGTTGGTCTTATGACAGCTCAATGAAACTAGAGATCAATGTACCTGGCAGATCGCCTATCAATCACTGCATCCTTAACTGACACATGTGCATGCCGCACGTATCACCATACGACCCTGCGATTCCCATGGTCGCACTAAAATATGCTTGAAATGTCGTGCCTCATTACATGATTGTATTTCATGCAATTTTTATTATAACTTCGTATGGTGACATTAACGCGCCAGTCTTCCATAAATCAAACCGGACAAAGGAGTGTAATCGGTTTCTGTGTCATTGCCTTCTTAAATGTCCTATATTAATAAGACTGAGCGGAAGGTAGTCGGAATTTGTGACATTTCTATACCTTCGTGTTCATTGTACATACGTCACATCTACAGGTAAATGCCCTCAGTTTCCCCCTATCTCAACCAAGCCTTGTGTCTTTATAAATCCCCGAGTCGTGCTGGTGTTAGGGAAGTGCGACTTTCCAGTCCAATATCCCCGCAGACTTGCCATATACATGTATATATATAGACGATGGGCTTGAATTGAAGTGTCATTGGCCAGTCTGTCTGGGGGCATGCACCGGGGCCGACACCTGCTGATAGACAGGCTGGAGACGGCGCACCTGCAGGCCAATGTTTGCTCTAAGGACTTGCAGTTCCTGTCTCCGAGAGGGATATCCACCTTGGAACACAATATCTAACCACAAGGACGGCACAAGAGGCTTGCATCCATTGGCAACAGACAGTGCATGGCTGCGAAAAAGGGATCCCGTGAACACTTAGGACAACGTTAGCGCACCTGATACCACTTCATAATTGTAAAGAGTCTTCGCGAAAGTGTTTGAAAAGTAAACCATCTCCATTGTTGGGGATGTTCGTGGCAGAGGTTGCAATTTCTCAACAATGTGAGGAATTTATGAGAGGGCATTGTGCTCTTTTTTTCAAGTCTGTCTGAGAGGCCAACTATAATTCTTTCACGCTGTGTCTTTTTCTTGGTCGTTGCGGTGATTTTCAATTAGATGGCTTGTATGGAAGAATGCGTCGCGATATAATTGTTATATGTTATATTATTATTCTTTTCAAAATATTGACACGCAATCGTTTGAATTAAAAATATTTCAACTCGTATAAACTTAAACTCATAGACATGCATTCCAAATGAAAACAAAATTCGTTAAAATACGAATTATTATATAAGACAAACATTTTCATTGTTTTTTTTAAATGAATATTGCACACAAACAGACTTGTGCGTTTAGCGTTGTGGCCTACAATAATTATACAGACGATATTGGTACCGTGGAACAGAAACCGATGTATAACGGTTGGTTAACTCTGAAAATTAACAGTGGAACAGTGGAGTAGCCCAACAAAGTCTTGCAGTACAATTATTAGAAGCGTCTACAAACACACAAAATATCTCACAGTAACGCATGGAGACGGCATATAAATCGGAAGTTAAGCAAGTTTAAAAAAAAAAAGCGCTGTGGCTTATTTGTTTGTCACCACGAGCCGAAGTTCGGGTCGCATCCGAACCTCCTGTCTTGACTCGTGTCTATTATGTCTTCGACAATTACAACTACATATGAACAAGCTGGACGCCTGCTTCGGATAGGGACTTACTGGACATCTCGTATGATAAAAGTCAGACTCTTAAAATATGTAATTAATGATGTCAAGAAAAGTATCGAAACATATTGACCGTGTTACTTACCTGTAAAGACTCTGATTCCAGCAGGTCCCCTGGACATAGCGTCCGCGTTGCAGTTGAACTCTTGCGTGGAGGCCGCTGTAGACGTACCGGGTATGGGCCTGCCGGTGTCCACGTAGACACACCAGCAGTAGCCGGCTTCGTCGTGACACTGCACGGCCTTGTACGCTCCGTCCTCGTGGCACTGCGGAATGAACACGCCGCTCTTCGGGAGTAACTCGGCCCGTTTCGTGGCCCGTTGTCTCTCCGCTTCGCATGAGACTATCGGGGGGTCTAATACATATCCAAGACAAACGACATATCTTTCACTTAGTGTTTTGACAGAGTGTAATGTAGATGTCCTTAACAGTAGTGTACCATAGTGCAACCGGTCAATTATTTTTATCACTGACGTTTTGTGCGTAAATACATGTATATATTCCCATAGTGTTACTACGCGTATTTATAAAATCCATCTTTTATCTATTAGACAATTTATTATGTGTTCGTTGGGACAAACTAACTATAAAAGTGGATTCAGATCCTGCATGCGGGCTTACCAACTCTTGGAGGGAAGGGCGTGGCTGGCAAATGTGGCGCCGGGAAAACTGGAGGAGGGAGACCTGTTGGAACAATTTCACATTATTTCATACAAATTCCAAACGACCAACTTAATGTGTGCTCTTCGTACACACGTCAACATGTAATACGACGTGACGGATAATGAGAATTCGTCAAAGCAATAATATGGCGCCCGCCTTGATGACGAACACTTTAAACTCTCTGTGGTGCATTCTCAAGACTTTTTATGCAACTTGATAAGTGTGCCATCTAAAAAAGAAAACAGCACGTCTTCGTCAAATGCACTGTCTTTTGGCTGTCAGACAACCGGACACACGAACATACGAGATAGTATCTGGAAAGGAAAACGGTACTTCATCATGCAGAGTCCGTAGGCTGTCAATAAATTGGGTTTGCTAGAAGGAAAATGGCACTCCATCATATGCAACTTCCCTAGACTGTCAAAAAATGTGCGTTAGATATCTAGCACCCTTCCTACAAATGTAAGCGCCCACGCCCACCAAAGACAAACTATTACAAGCATGCATAAACAGCTTTCAAAACAATACAGAAATAAACAATCTCTCTACAATAAAAACATTTTTCTTGGGTTTTCGTGACCTTTGACCTACCTTCCTGTAAGTTTGTGTCACCTGTTGGTTCTTCTGGTTGCTCATCTGAGTTGAGGGATAAGAAGAGATGGAACGAAACTACAAATTACAGGAGTACTAAAGTCGGTGGTTGGAACCTAGTAAAAACCTCAATCTTGCACTTGCCCGGCAAATCATGGCTGTCTACACGGAAGATACCAAAGATTTGGAGGGAAAAAAGAAGAAACCAACTAAGACTACAAGCAGCCCGCATGCTCATGCATCGACTACGGTATAGAGAATGATACAAAGGTTCGAAAAGAGCTTGCAGACAGAGTAATAAGGTTAAACCTTGAAAGAGTCAGAAGGATGGAATCGGAAATCTGACAAGAGGTAAAGAGTAACTTCAGGGATATATGGTTAGGATGACAAAACGCATGGGAGGGAATGAGAAGAGCTTGAAGGCAAAAGGAAAAGCTTTTGAGAGAGATAAAGAAAAGCTTGAAAACGAAAGAAATCACGGCTTCAGATGTGGATTTAGTTTTAGCTTAGTGGCTAGCTGCAAAGCAGGATCATGTAGACAGACACGTCAAAGGCACATTTCGTATAATTTTTACACAGGCAAGATGCAATGCAAACGATCTTACAAAGAACAAGTAGGTAAAAGGGAAGTACATAGTACTGCTGTACCGTACAGGCGTATTCCTTCTTTTTTTGTATTTTCTTTCAGAATTGGCAATCCTGCATAAGTAGGCCGCGGAGAATACAGGCTATGGTTCCCGATTGTGTACGTGTATAACCCCCAAGTTTCAAAACTGGTTTACCAACACAGGACTATGAAAACAGCATGATCAACGGCAGTGCTGAAATGGGTTAAGTGTGTTTAAGGATTATACGATGAAAGAACATTTTGAATGGGAATTATTTTTTTAGGTAGTGAAAAACTTCAACAAAAGGCAGCATTCGCATAAAATGGCACCATGCAAACAGTTTACACACAGTCAACAATTCCACAAAGACACATACGAGAAACAATGGTTAGAACTCATAATGCAGTTAAGACATGCAAAGTGAAAGATCAACAGGTGCGGTGTCAAGGTATGTAAGCTGAGTCCGACAAGCAAACAGTATTATTGTGAAGTTGTTTTTTCATTCATTGAATGTGTGTTGAAATGCCCGACAGGTGATATGGGTGGCCAGAAGCTTCAGCAGAAGGGGGAAATGGGCTGAAATACGCCGCTATTTTTTTTCATTTGGGTGAAAAAGCATGAAAACAAGTCTACTTGGCTACTCTATATTATATGCACTTAGAGGTAGTAGGAAAATGAAAGTTTAGTTTGGAGGTGTGTAGATTTGACTTTCACCTTCCCACAATCTCTTCGTTTTTCAATCACCGCAAATACTGAAAAAAAGCACAGTCATGAAAGTGCAACATTGATGAGAATGTCCCGACCAAAAATTTCTGCTAGCAACTTCTGTGGAAGGTGAAATGTCCTCATGATGTGACGGTCAAGTACAAGAACCATTCTTCCAACGCATACTCACTATTATCCACCAGACAAAAAGACCACTCTGTCTTAGCGATTCGCCCGTCCTGATCCAAATCGCAATGTTCAACAAACGTCTTGGCACACTTCTTCGGCTTCAAGATCTTCTTCATCATCCTTCTCAGGGAGTTCAACTCTTTCCTGTCCAACTCCATGTCCGCGTTGCTGTCCAGCTCCGTGAATTTCCACTCGATGACTCTTTTCTGCGAGTCTTCTATTCTCTGCACTCCGCCCGTCGTTTCCGAGGGTTGCGTCGTGGGTAGACGGTGGAACTCCTCCCGGAAAATGTCTTTGAGATTTGTGTTGAATTCTATCCTCGCATCTTGATTACAGCCTGCAAAAGTTGGTCAAAAGTAGCTCAATGAATAATTTACCAAATTAACTGCTTCCTGCTAAAAGAAACGATCAACAAAAAGTAGATCTCAAAGTAAAACCTTTGTTGTTCACCGTATTTGATGTAAAATCTTTCAAATTTTAAGGCTCATAGTTCGATAAAACATTTACCTTTAGTATCTAGAAGCGGCCGTTTTGTTGGAGGAAATGTTGCTGCGGTAACCGAAAACAGAACAAAACAAAACAATAATAAAAATGCTTCATACATTATTGTGACTGTTTATTTCCTAAATATAAAATATATTTTAAAAACCTATAATATAACTGGTAAACAATATGCATGCATGTAAACAATATGCAAGTTAAGAATACAGTGGACACAGGCTGTCTCGGTATAGATTAATAAAATCAAAATAAGTTCTAACTTAATTGCGCCGGGTGTCTTTCACGTCATTGAATGAATCCACCATGACTGTGTGCGCAGTTGCAATCGAATAATCACAACGTATTATGTGAGAAAAGCACACACCGGTGCGCCAAATATCACAGGTGCAAAATAAAACCGTACTGCAGTGAATACCTGACTGTGGCGCGATTTCACCGTTGCACGACGGCCGAGGAGAAGTCATTTTGGTGGCCTGTTTGACGGAGGATCCTGGTATAGGTTTACCGTCCTCCGTAACGCACCAGCAATAGCCGAAGGACTGGTGGCACTGGACTTTGGAGAAACTTCCGTCCTCCTCGCACTGGGGTACGAACACGCCCTCCGTCGATGTCAAGGCTTGTACCCTGCTCGCTGCCTGCTCCGTCTGACATTTGGTCAGACCTGAAAACGAGACGAGGATAAACTCTACTGAAAAACCCTGTTTATTAGCGACTACACTTCAGCATAAACCCTTCCCCGGGCAGGTTTTGTCAGGAGCCTCTCTTAATCTTCAACTTATCCAAAATATGTGCAGGAACATTACACGGGCATCGGCAATTTAATACCATTCTACCTACCCTCGCAAGGTCCCTTGTGTTTGATTTGGACTGAGTTGCCGAAGCACCGAGCTCTTCGGATCTCGCAGCGAGAGTTATATGTCTGTCCGTCCATGCCACAGACCGGCCGTGGCTTGGCGATCAGGCAGTCCGGATCACAATCCCTTTCTCGGCTCGTCAACTCGTGCGCCAATGGGAACTGCCAAAGAAAAAAAAATATCAACACTTTCAAATACATACATGATGGGAAACTGAATATGCAGTTTGAACAACAAAACTAAGTGACTGGAGCGGGATTTGCATATTCAAACAGTCCACCGTCGCTCTGCCAACAGGTACAGAGCTATATCCGGTCCTACAATACTTCTCGGTTTAAAGCTTCGGGTTGTGGTTCATTATGCAAAAAGTATAGCATTAATTTTTTAATCATTTATCTGTAGACATCATGACCGACTGATGTATAGAGCGAAATTAATTTCGTCTTATATGTTTAACACGAATTGATGACAGAAGATGAAAGACGTGTCGCAGCACAAACTAACATACAAAGCAACGACGCTATAACGAACACCGCTTTAACAAACATTTGGCTATAACGAACATCCTCTTTCGCTCCCGAAGTAGTAAATTCTTTTACAATGCACAATCCCTATAACGAATGACCACCATAAGGAACATTTTTTTTGTATGGACAGTAGTGTGACAGTACAGGTAACAGTACAGAGGAAACATAATGGACATCTAAGTTTGTAAAGTTTAACAATCTCATGGCTTCCATGTTTATCAAAACAGTTGGGGTATTAGTTCTTTCGCAGAGGAAGAATAGACCCAAGCATAATGTAGAATGTTGGTTCAAAATCTCAGTTGAAATGTTATTGGCCTGATTTGCACCCAAAAAATCGGTCAAACATGTGCACGGATACTCAAGTGAACAGACTCTTAACTTCTTAGAAGTTGCATTCTTAAGATCCATGGGCAAATTGGGGGAAATATTATTAGGCAAAGTCCGGTGAACTGGCGTCAGACATTATGCCGCAGTCTTATACGTTCAAGTACTATCGCAGGAGGCAGGGTCGGGAAACTAGGTTGAGTTACATTAAGCTCAGACTATTTTGAATGTTTTCCACTATACGTATGCTACGTACATGCTGGTTATTAGGACGGCATGAATTTAATGTCAACTCAGAACCCTGACAAACAACGAGCGGCGAACGCGTCCGCTAATTTGTACAGGGCATATTTTTCCAGCTTGGCCGACATGCGGCGGTCTTTCAGATGTGGGTTCGCATAGACAGACATTCCTCGTTAAGTCATGTTGCACCATGTTGGCGATGCCGCTCGACAGTTAATACAAATTACGTCTGTCTGTCTGAACATGCTGCATTTTAAAGACTGCCTTTCAATCCATCATTAGTGCACAGTGTACGACATAAAACTCGTACACATTTTGATTACACGAACGGTTGCAATTCTCGAGTACACAGCTGATAGGCAGCGCGGTCTGATGGGCCAGTGTAGGCCTACACGAAGCCGAGACAATGGGTCGAAATTGATAAAAAGAAAATAACAGTATAATAACGCATAAACACTGCTAATATTTGAGGCTACAATAGCAGTGCCAAACGAAACAAGTTTTGCTTGTTTAAGGGAATGCGATGGAAGGTGATTTTTACCATTTGAATCTGAATTCCCACGTTTCGCATTTTTTCCACTCAAATTAAATACATGAGGTGGTAAATGACGCACACCAGAAGAAAATGTTGTACATAAATGTGTGGTCCGTTCGCTAAGTTTCACTGAATTTGTATATGACAATCATTTCCATGATTTTCATTGTGTTCTGATCAATACTAATTTCAATGTAATTTGGTCTCGCTCAAAAAGACGAATTTGATATTCCTGTTCATTTGCAGGTTTTTTTTTTCTTCCAAGAGACCAAAAAATCAGGACAAGATGGAAACCTAACGCCGGACAGGACAAGAAAGCCTGCTGGGTGTTATGATTAGAGACTGAAGTAGGTCAGCTGCCAGACAGACAAAGATATTGCATTATTCCCCGGCGAATTGCGATTATTTTCGGTGCGGGTGGAAATCCATTACAAGTTACACCCCCTCGGGAACTTTCCCGCGTTATAAATCTCCGGTCCTGCGGAGGGGAATTAACAAAAGTGTCTTTGTAATAGATTGTTGCCGTGGCCCCGATATACGCCCACCGCCTAAGCCGGCACGCAAACCTTGAAATTGAACGAGCGGAAAGTTGATTTTACAGATTACAGTCCACAAAGGTATTTAATCTTGACACCTCCAAAGGTGTGATAAGTGTGACTTAATCGGGGTGATTAAATTACCCGCCACTTTAAAAGGCTTAAGAAAATGTTTGAAAATGGGATTTTCATTGGGGACAAAACAAACAAGTAGCGTCAACAATCTACACGTCCATTTAGCGTCCACTCTAATGAACGATAAAAAAGTAAAGGGGGGGGGGGTTGACATTGGCATCCATAATAATTTTCGCGTAAAATATAAAGTACCTATCTTTACATAGGCCTTCCTTTTTTCCCCTTCAAATTACAATGAAACATAGAAAAACATCACAATCCTCTGTAGCAAATGTATTTCCCACCCCATTTTTGTCTCCTATGTTAATCAGCAGGACAATCGATTTGGACCAAACCGGGTATAACTTATAAGAAAATCAAGGAGATTGGTAAACGTTCATGTATAGGGGGTCTATATTTCCTCGACAAGAACTGATGTCATCGATGTCATTGATGTCAGCATTCAGTTTGATGTCTGCGAACATGAGTACCTACATGATCAACAACATTTTCCCCAAAATGTCCATATGACCATCTGCTTAGATGTTAAGAACAACCATCCTCTTATTTTAAGATGTGAAGTTAGGAAAGTTCCATGGTTCACCCTTGCACATCTTCCCTCCATAGACTCTTGTTCAACATTCACTGAAAGGAGCCAAATGACTCTGCAAACCCAATGATTGAAGGCTAGACCAGTGTGGTATGAGATTTGGACACTTTGAAATACGGACTCATTGGTTGTATCGCGCATGCCCAATCGGAAGATAATTAGGACAAGTGGCAGGTGTCGTGCGAGGGTTAGAGTCCATATAAGGTGAAAGAGACCAGGTTTTGTAGGAGTCAAAATTTCACATGATATTGGGATTCTTAGAACAAAGACAATCAAAGAAATGGCATTAACACGTGTTGGACGAACAGCCAATGTGGTCAAGCGAGGAGTTAAAAATCCAATTCTCCATCTTACAGCAGCAAGGAAACAACACGAGGTCATGGAGGGTGGAAGCGGTGGAGTATATGAATCAACCTGATGACCGGTCTTTCTATACTCCAGCTTTCTCACAACTCACAAAAAGACTAGTCTGGCTCGGTGTCGCCAGAAGTCTTACAGCCTGTGTAAGAGACTCTAAAAGGCAATCTTGTAGATGAGCCTCATTTATATCAACTAGCCTTGGATTGTCAAAATGAGAATACATGAACAAACATTCACGGTATCACTTTGAAATCTTGAATTACTGTGCTGCTTCATTGTCCTACCATGGCCGTACTGTAAGCTGACTGTGCGTGCTATGTGTCACATCTTCCGATGCAATAGAATGTCTAGTACTGGACGTGAAATGTGAAGCATTTACCATCTAGAACACTCATGTAACATGTCACAGCACCATTCAATCCCGACATCCTGAGTTCCAATAAATGAAGTGATTTGGAATATCCAAACCGTTTCAATGGGGTCCTTCCATAAACCATATTAATATCAAGTGACACATAAAATAATGTGATCTGGGGCTTTGCAACACACAACTGGGGAGAGATATGGGGTACACCATTGCCATGTGAATAACATTTATAAGTTATATTGAATAAGAAGAAAATGCATTTTCCCTCATGCCACTATTTTGTGTCGGTGCGTTTGAGTGTTTTTTTTCTCATATAGGTATAGCTAATAGGCCTATATGTTTTTTTTTCTTTCTCCACAAGCAATCTGATGAACTAGGCCTAATTGTCAATGTTACTCTATTATAATGTGTAACTGATCAATTTTACTGTCAATTTAATGTAATTCAGTGCCTGACTGCAACACGATTCTCAAGCAATAACATTAACCAATATGAGAAGTTTTGTTCCCAGGAGAAGATCATGTGCACGACTAAACGTTTCAGTCAATATGCTCTGACCGTCATCAGGAGAAACAAAATATGTCACTTCACAATGTGTATCCGAAATCTTCTCTCGGTAATTATATATACATGTCAAAAACATATCCTACTTTTGATCCTAAATAGCTATGTTGTTTACCAATGGAATTAAACCAAAATTTCAGATCATGTAAACGAAGCATGACAAATCTTATGCAGCGAGTTTCATCAGCTTTGTGCAAGAGGGTGAGATTTCAACGTTATACGAATAAAATACTCACTTTCAGAATCTGCCACTTTTGACTTGGCATCGTCCAATGTCGATACATGCACATCGCTGGAGACGGTGGCGGAAGAAGCGTGCTGCGACCAAAAGCTTCTGAAGGAATGCAGGATCACCCCTGATGTTATTGCACACCTCCTCGATCGTTTGGCGCAACACACGATCGAGGAGCTGTGGAATGGTATCAGGATTGATCCTGCGTTTCTTCAGAAGCTTTCTGAAAGTGAGTATTTTTTTTCGTATGGCGTTTAAATCTCACCCTCTTGCACAAAGCTGATGAAACTCGCTCCATAAAATTTGTTATCCCTTGTTAACATGACCTCAAATTTTAGTTTAATTGCATTGGTAAACAACAGACTTATTTAGGATCAAAAGTAGGACATGTTTTTTTTTTTGACACGTAGTACATATGTCAGGTCGGTATACGCAAAATCGGGGGAAATTGGACCGAACGCCCACATACTTGTCATGGGCCGAATGTTCTTTAGAATTACTTTTTATTTATTTAATTAAAACGACGGTACATATAAAGCCTTCATCCTCCGTTTTATAGCTCCATGATTCAATGGATACCCCTCTGGGTGATAAGGTAAGGGGAAGGGATGGGTAAAGCCTATTTTGCCCGTTCCCGGTCTTATTATGTCATTATTTAATTGAATACATTGGTACTGGTGAATCACAACTATTTTAGTCGCAAAAGCATGTCGACTTTTTAGGGCGTTCAGGGGGTTGAACCGTTGAGCTATAAAACATGTTATTGCTGTCTGGCTAAGCACGTGAAGTGAGTATTACAATGGTGTCTTGATTTAGCTTGAGACAGTTTCTTGAAACGAAAGAAGTTGGCTGGCTTTTACTGCAAACATATATACATACATCGTCACCAACAAGAGACATCGGCTACAGTGATGAGCTCTTGCTGTGATTTGAAGTACACACGCCGACACAATAAATGGGCCCATAAATGTCAACAGGTATTTCATAGTAAAAAAAAAATACTCAGGGAAAACATTTTAGCACCCCCAGGTTTCCCTCACCGGGGATTTTAGGGATCAAGGGATAAGATGCAAAGCCGCCCAATTACATGTTTGATGGCCCCCGATTTGTCACGTAATCGACATAAAGAAGGCGTTTTTGATAGCTGTATATTGGTTCGTGATTGTGGCGCGTGTGGCCTATACACTGAACACTTGGGTGTTAAAGCATAACTCCAGAGATGCTGCAAGACCAACTTCGAATATCTAAACCCCATGAAGCTCTCTCAATATTTTTGGTCGACCGACACACATCCACCTGCTGTGGACATATGGACATGTGTACCTCCCGGCTTTGCACGCGTTTTTTTTTATCGAGCCAGACAAACTAGGTGTGCAACCCTGCAATAAAATTCCCGTAGACACTAGTGCTAAATGCGCATGCTTCAAAATACTTTTAAAAATACTTAGAACTCTCACAGGTATTCAAGCTGCACAGAAAAATGATTATCAATGTGTCATCTTTCATTTCCTTTTCATTTTTTGGTGGGTTGACCATTGACTTTTCGAGATATTCTCACCCAAAGAAGACGACCCCTATTTTCACCAAAGCGGAAAAGTAGCCGTCTTGAAAAAACGATCCCTCCACAACATGGCAAAATAGCGCCACTTTCCAGCCCAATAACATCCAAAATGCTCAGAATTGGAAGCCCCAAGTCCGGGCCAGAGGTGCATTGCCATTTCTTTTCAATTCCCCAATTTATGACCCTCAAAACTCTCTAATATAGAATATTTTGAGGGTATAACTTTTATTCATGAGCTCGGCGGACGGATTTTGGCATCCTTAGATGGGTGGTAGTGCAAAGGCCACAATCGGTACATTTTGAAATGTGAATATTTTAAATCGGAAGCACTAGGCATCTCGGAAAATGTAGAGGAAATTAATCAATCTGGTTAGCAAAGAGCATTCCATCATCAAGCATGAAACCAATAGCATTTAAAAAAAATAGATTCCAAGGGCGCATCAAGCCTTATGTAAAGTAAAAGAGGATGGGCTGTACATTCTCCCAATTTTGCAACAAGTTGTTTCAAAACCTGATGGATTTCGAAGGATCAGAGAATAAGTTAGGGTGAAGCAAGCAAATATTTAACTGAAAGTGCGCATTTCAAGAAAAGGTCCACACATATTTCGCACCTTAGTCAAAACCTTTGTTATTGTTGTGCTAAACTTGGACACATGTACATTAAAATTAGCTTCATAAGCAAATTATAAACAATTAACATACTGTAGATATACTGAATTCACAATAGTAAACAGTAGAAAACTGCAAAAAACTGCAACAGGCTCAAAGATGAATCTTTTGGTGAGAAAGTTGGGGAATTTTTAGAACTGATAATGTGACAATTACATGTTGTAGTTTGCCAAATTTTGTCGGTTTTTCACACACAAATCATATCGAAAGATGAATAACACCGATATTTTACGTGTGCAAACAATGATCGCGTGGGTATAGCCAGTTAGGCCTATACATGTAAGTGACGTCAACGAACCTGAATGAAATCATGTGTAAATCGGCCTTCATACGACCCTTGAGGGACCCCGTAGCAGCTGGTGGTCGATTAGCCGTATAAAATGCGGCAATGTTGTCGGCTAGTCATGAATCGATGTGGCACGTACAAAACGGATGCGAGCACCCAGCGACAATGGTGGCCCCAGGCATACTGATGATCCATACCCCAAAGTATGTGTGGGATTTCAAAACATGTTGGTGGGATATGACTTGTATGGATTCCACAAGCGAAAGATGAAAACACACCGACCAAGGCTAGGATTTGATTGCCAAATTAAAAAAAAAAATCTTTCAGAAATGAGATTTTGTTTCACTTCATTTGGTGTTTGTGGCAGGCAGTACCGCATAAACCACTGACTGCCTTGCATGAAATTACGCGGATTGGCATAAGTTTCATTTTGGCTGACAAAAGAGGAGGCAGGTTGGAGCAAGATGACTATCTCTCAAAGCCCAAGGCTTTACTTTTATCTTGATTTCTAAAGTCTGTATGCTCAGACTGTGTTCGCCTTGTATTCAACTGCAGTGGGTCCACGTAGGCGTTCAGAGGAAACCGAGCTTTTCCCTTGGGGCAGTTTTCGTAATAATGGACCTTTACAGACAATACAGTGTGGCTTAAGCATGCAACCCGTGCAAACTCCGATGGTGTGGTATAGGTTAACCATCAGGACGGTAGGTTAGCCCCAACATTGTTATTAGCTAGGCTGAACACCGCTAATCCGCAGTTGGCAAAAGGTAACACGTGAATTAACCGACTCCATAGAGCTTTCTGCCTGAATTGATGACGCCAACACCCAAAGTGAGGAATATTCCACGGGAATACTTTGGACGTGCTGAGGCGTACACTGAGTTGTATGAAGTGACCTGCGAAATCCCGTTGTACTTGCTTTATTTAGAAAAGTCAAAAAGGTGTATGCATTAAAATATAGTCACTCGTCAATGCACACATTTCAGACACAGCTAATAGGCCTTCAAGTTGTGTGTTTTCCCTCCAAATTGAACAATTATTGTTTAGGTGAATGTGCCTTTTTCTAACTTTCTTCGTTACTTTTATGTCTTGGATGTATAAACAAAACTTGTCACGGCACAATAAAAAAATCGATTACAAATTCATTTATTTTAAAAGTCTTAAATGACCTTTAGATTTATCTGAATTAGAAGATTTTGAATGCTGTGCGGTATATCTACCTGAACAATACATTATATAAATACACATTCCGGTCAAATCCTTGCAAGTAGAAATTAATTTGACACCGTAGGCAATAGACGATTGAAGAACAAGGAAGGTCTATGCAACAGCACGTGTTCCATCAATGAATCAGGAGAATTCCATACCATGAATTCACTCACGTCTGTTGAATCACAGAAACATTACAGAAACGAAACTTGGCTATTTGTGGACTTACCCTGCTGGCGAGCGATAGCTGAACGTAGGCTAGAAATAAAACCAGAGCAAGGCGGGCGAAGAACTGTCTGCTTGTCGCAGCCATGCTGCGTCGTGTACTGATGGTATGTTGGCCTTCAATAGAAACAAGTTCTCGCAACAGGGTGAACAATGATGTATCGTCTGGAGTAATTGAAATGACACACAGGTCCCCCTCTCGGGTAGTAAAAGCAACTCCTTAAGGTCCACCTGATTTGATCACTGAAGGGAATAAATTCGGCTCGAGAAGTAGAATGGCAGAATTACCATCAATGTAACCGAGTATTACCGATCAAATATCCATGCAGCGCCACCGTTGTTACTGCATCGACGAGACGGTGTAATTGTTCATCGTGACCATAGTTTAGTCTGTGACGGAATGAATCACAGTTTGGTTCCAGCGGAGTGTTGTTACGGTGAGACTTAACACGGGTAATTTGGCCTAAGTCGTGGACGTCGACCACATAGGGCACAGGTTGGTGATCACAGAGAGATGCCGGCGTTTAACCATTTAGTGTGGCCAGTAGACGGACTGCCGTGCATCTGTCAAATCGTGTGGAGCAGGTTTATTCTGTGCCAAGTGAAATGAGTGCACTGGCATCTGATTGGTCGATTACTCCTACTGTACTTTTCCAAGTATGTGCATGTACTTTGCGCTGGTTGCTCCTTCATTCATTCGGTGCGTGTGTGTTCACGAACTGTCTAGCGAGAATGCTCGTCATCAGCGCGGTTGCCCGTACATGATCGGGATGTATCTGATGTTGACTTACCAGCTGCCTCGGTTTAGAGTGCGAAGCAACAACCAATTCTTCGACACCTGCGCATTCTCATGTAAATTTGCTCCGCAGTCAATTACGATAAGGCGGGGGGCGAATCTGCACCCGAACGGGCCAATTTGCTTTTTTTGAAGGTTTGTCACCGCGGATAAGTGTTTGTTTAATAGCTATTATGGTTGGACTCTTGGCCCAATGATGATTCTATTCACACCGATTTGGGCTGCCTGCCTTCCGCCGAGTGAGCTTGCTTCAACCAGTAGCTATTCATCCGATGGTCCGGTTTTGGGTTTACCGACTGGCTTTTGGTTTTTGTCCTGGTATGCTGTCGAACTTCCTCTTTGCTGTGGAGAAAACACTGAGAAACATTCATTCACGTAGTTTGGACAAACACCCTTACGCTTCATTCAAAGCTAGTAAGAGGGGCCATTGGCTTTCATAATCCATTACGTCTAAAGTGGACCCTCAGCCAACTGCCTTTGTCCAATAACAAATGGTGGCAACTAGGCTATTAGTATTACGGCCATTAATGGATCACAATGGACATTGATGGCTTAATTGTTATTAGCGCAGTCCCCAAATCCAGCCGGCTTAGTTATCTGTTTAACGGGCGACGTGAGTAATCATGATGCATTCTGCATGATTGTAGCACGCATCATGAGCACACCCAAGTTAAATGCCATTGTCCACAAAACATGCACAACAGGTATTTGAATTGTCCTGTCGCAGAATCCATATGTTTCATAAAGTTTAACTGCATGTGGATGGGGGTACACATGGGGATGGTTCAGAGGTGGCCAAACCGATGAGCCAGCCGATTGCCGCCTGTCTGAGTGAGTCACTGACTGACCGTCCAGGTCGACCAGGCAAGCCTGGACCAACTGGGGTTTCTTCGGTAAATTCCCCTACACAAGACATCGATAGTTCCTTCATCGGTGTAAAGAGATTAAAGACATGACCTCATATTCAGGAGAACTCAATTCACATGCTCATTTATAATTAATTTTCATATGTGTATACCACCAAACATGATCGTCAACCATGGCTAAATATTAATAGGATAAAACGAAATACTTCTCTGCTTCCCCATGAGTAAGAACATTTTTATTACACTAAGGCTAGAAATCAAACTTGCAATAGAGATAAATAGAGTCAAACTTACAAAAGTTACTGCTTGGAATGGGACAAATTCATGTGGGAATGATACACATTTATTCCAAAGAGAGATTGTTGAGTCACATACACTGCAAACAGAGTCGAACTAAGATACAATTTGCGATGGGCTACTCAATTCCAACAGTAATCATCAAGGTGGGGATACTTCAGTTGGCAGATTAAACCGTGTGCAATCTGCCAACTGAAGTAACTGCAGATTATACCATGTAACCTAAAAAGGACGCCTTGTATTAAGAAAAGCTGGGGGTGCATGGGTGGTTAGTGGGTCGGGGTTGGGGCAGGACTGTGTTTTCAAGTTGACATCAACATTACATTTTTTCCAATTAAGTGCGCAATACACTACACATTGTTTTTTTTTTTAAACTACATCAGGGCACACGGAGGGGCGTTAGGGAGGGGGAAGGGGCCGAAGTACATTTGTGAAAAAAAGTTCGTTTGATTTGCTTCAATTTTAAGAATGGGTTAGTTGAGAAATGTAAGCCAATGTTACCCCAAACTTAAATTGTACCTTATGTAGCCTACTCGTAGCCTATTGTTATTTTCATAAATTTGTATACTGCTTACAAGTAGGCCTATAATTGTTTTTCTGTTAAGTGTCATATGTCGTCTTTTTATGTGTAATGGCATGCCTGATACAAGCTATGGTTTCAAGGTTTTGCCACTTCTACAGGACTTTATATCTTAACCAAATACTTGTATTATTCTTCATTTCTGCCATTTAGAGGAAATAAATGTGTTTGTGACTGAAATTCCATACACCATGTATCGGATGGTGCTCTTCCAACATTCGTCAACCTCGAAAGTTGAGGACAACAAAATGACATATTTTACGGATTTAACTCGAGAATGCTCTCGGCTAGGAGAAAGACAAATATATATATATTTTTTACACACTGGATATTTGGTTTACCAAGATGGAAAGCTCTAAGTGATATCAGATACCTTTAATTTGTCCCATGGCATAGGCCAGAAAACAAGCCATGTCTCGTTTTGGCAAGGGTATAAACTGCAGGTGGAAATCTAAGGCAGGTGTACGGTGGGCTGAGCCTTTTCCCCATGTCACGTCCCACATATTGTGTGTTCCATCCAGTCAGCCCATTCCGGAGTGGTTCAGCCCAATCATCGGTAGCCCATGTCAAGGTGATTGTTTACACCCAGGGTGTTAGTGCCAACACCTCGATAATAACCCCCTGTAATTGATGCAAACCAAAGATAAACACCTTGACACCTTAACCCAGTATGCCAAGCGAGATTGTGCGTGACATGCAGACGAACAGCTGCCACTGTAATAGTAGACTCGTATCTAGGCTCGCAATGCAGTTGCACAAAATAGGAGAGGCTTCTTCAGTGGAACAACAGAGGGCGCAATGCATTTCAATTTTTGTGTAACGAGAACTTCATCCAACGACGTCGTTTAAAACGCGGGGTGCTGCAAGAGCAGTAGACAAATTGGTAAGCAACACTTCTAATTCCAAGTAAGCCCTCTTTTTTTATTCTTGAGAGATGAACTGTACAAAGAGCTTATTTTGTGCTTTAACTTGATTTATTAAGTTGAGGCTAGGTTGTCTATGTCAGCATGCAATGAGGAACAGATTATAATTTCAATTTTTTTGGGGGGGTGATGAGAATATTGTTTTCATTGGTATGTTGCGTGATTATGTCGGTGCAGATGTAAATACGAGTGCCAAATTCTTATCCAACAATTACGATTATGCACATTTTACTCCATCATGCATATGAAAAAAATGTTTTATAATTTATTTAAAATGTATTTGGCTGTCGATAGAGTTCAATCCGAAGGATTTGCTTGCAGCACGTCCCGGTGTGGCAGGTAATTCTGTCCCCCCTGGTAAATGTGTCCCCCGGACAAATTTACCGGCTCGTGACCTGGTAAATCTGTCCGGGGGGACACTTTTACCTAGGTAAACCTGTCCCCCTTTAGGTAAATCTGTCCCCCTGCACGACGTTAAATGTGTCCCCCCCCCCCTGGTAAATGTGTCCCCGTGCATGCATGCGGTGATACGAGTCGTGTTCGTGAGCGCGCGCATCGCCGCAAGTACATGCTGCAAGATTTGTGGCAGCGTTTATCGCATGTGTATCCCTCTACACGAAAGAAATTCATCCAATGAGAAATTTCGTTACGCGCTACGATGGGAACGCAGACCAATCCAAGTAGTCGTTATATCAATGAGGCGTCCACCGTAGAATAGGGCTACTGTAGTGCACGACCTTGCTGTAATTTCACCGTACTCCGAGTCCGAGTCGATCGAAACATAATTGTTCACATTTCACAAAGAGACCAAAAAGTTAATTTTATTCATCTTCATGAAGGGCAGACTAAAAAGTAAAAAATGTATAGCTTGTATGAATTCATTAAAACAATAATTATAGGGAATTACTGGCCTTCTGCGCTGCAAAACTAGGGGGACAAAAAAACCTGGAGGGGACAGAATTACCTGAAGGGGGACAGAATTAACGGGCCGGGGAGGACACTTTTACCTAGGTAATTCTGTCCCCCCGGACACTTTTAACGGGGGACAGAATTACCGTCCACACCGGCACAAACTCTGCTGGTGGAGGATGTAGCAAGGCGCCCTCTGCCGATCGATTGGCGCCAATATCTCACTTCACGCGGAAAGGAAAGGACCGACAGGTCAGCCGGTTGCTGCAAACCCGGGGGGGGGGGGGTGCTAGAGGGGCTTTTTTTACTGATCACTTGATACATATTTTATAAATATGTAGGATAAAGGGGATTAGCATCTACTTAAAAACCATTCAGCTACATACCTCTTCTGGTTTGATTACTTTGAGGGGGGGGGGGGGACACTGGATATTTGTGGGAGGGGAGGGACGTTCCCCCCTTCCCAGCCCCCCCCCCCCCCCCCCCCGGCTACGCCACTGACATTTTCACTAACCCTTTCAGTACCAGAAGATATTTGTCCCTTATGGTTTGTAACCACACTCATGTTAATGGCATGACCAGTTCTTTACTACAGGATTTTTGACATGTTTTAGTGTATAGCGCCCTCACACGACAATAAATTGAAAGGCAACATTTCTATGTGGTGTGAAATGAAATACTCTCTGGTCCATGAACCTGTACAAAACCAGATAATTAGTACAATTATCTTGGCCTACGAAAATGTAACACTCTTTGGGGGTTTAATGAATTAATACGTCCACAAACCTGTAAAATTAGTTCAATTTGGATGCATTTCAAAGATAAAGGTGACAATTCATCTGCACACCCAGTTAAGCGTTTCAGTGTTGGCGGTTGGCGGTGTGTGCATCATCACAAAAACATTGAAGTGGGAGGGGGGGGGGAGGTTGAAACCGGATTCAAAAGTACTTGAGTGAAATGCCTATAACTAATTGGCTGTGATACCTCTCCGAGCACGGAATAATAACACAATACATTGTAATTGGTTATTATTACACTTGCTTGATCATGCGTGTGTGCGTTCTCTAATGGCCCTAGTACTGTAGACAACACAGTCACGTTTCTTGCCGGCGACAATTCTTCCAGGATTCAGTGTGTAAATTGACTCGAAAAAGGGCTGAAACAACACGAGAGTTGGCTGGCTGGCATGCTGTGCTACTACCAGGTGGAAAGAAGTCCTTGTCCTTATATTACCTAAACTGGACAAGCGATTATTTGTAGGGATGCAGTTGTACAGGACGGTAGCATTCACCAAGCAGATGTCAAGAATGGTCACGAATACTCTTTTCCACCATTTGAGTGATGATGTGATCGCGGGTGTAGTACCGACACAGTTGTACTAGATCACTTCCTCCCATGCATTTATTATAATCGTTGACTGTAGTATAAGAAAGGTTTTTCGATCTCCGGTCGAACTGTTCCTGCTCCGAATTTGTTTAGTGGTCACACTGCAATCACCATAATTTGTCAGAAGAGTTACACGTTTTTCTGGGCCTGCAAAAGGACGCATAATATAACAGTTGGCCTGCTTTTGTAGAAAACTGGGGATCAACTCCTCTTTTCTTGGGGAACTTCTTGGAATCCCTTGTGTGGTTTAGCGCACAGTTCCACAAGCTCCGAATCTATGTGACAACTTGGAGACCAGAGCCGGGCTAGATGAAATGACCCTTATGTTCTGGTCCTTTCACTGTATAGTCCAAGACTACCTGGCTTGTTGTGACGTGAGTCGGCCAGGTTTCGTCCTGGCCTGTAAATGCGAGGAAATGACGACGTACAGTTCAATGTCGAGTAGAAGGCGAACTTTGGAAAGTTTATCATGGGGAGAGTCGTCTACTTGAGCTCTGTTGTTGGAAGGTGGAAAAATCGAAGGATTGCGTTGAAACGATTGCGAGAGATGGTCGACGAATACAAAACTTCGGATCTGGACCAGCGCATTGAGGCATTTTGTTGATGCCCAAACATATAAAGTAGTGCGACAAATGCCATCATTTCAGGAACATTTGGAGCCCACGCAGGCTGCTGAATGGCTGCGTCTGCACACACATTTTGGTCGGCATATGAATTGGTCTCTCTTTCACCATCAACTCCAACACTTCTTGACAGAATTACAGTTGCAAGATCATGGATGGATGAGAAGTGACTGAAATCTTCGGTACATCTGGTGTCTTCACTGAATTTCATGGGCGGTCGCTTGTTGTATTAGTAAGAGGCGCTTGCCGCACGCCATCCAGCTGAGCTTTTCAGATGAAGATGCGATTGGGAGGCACTCCTCATCACTATATCCGAGCACATTCGACGATTAATTATGCAAAATAAGTCTCCGTCTTGACCTTGAGATCCTGACCATTCAGCGGGCGCCTTCTATCGGGTCCTCCAGAACCCGTTGTTGTGATACAAAAACGTGGCATCCAAATTGACCAATCAAGAGCTTAGTCCACATTTCTGATCGAAAAGACGTCACCGTCCTCCAAAGACCACTCCGATTGGCTGGAGCGGGGTCGCATACATTTTACGTGCTCTGATATCACACGTTCAACCGTGACTTTGCCAACTTTTCTGATCCTCAGACGACTATCAGCGAAGATTTCTTCCAAAATGTGTGCACTCTCATCAGCTTCCATGATGGCATATGGATGACTCGACCAAGCAAACCCACCATCGAGTCCCTCCCTTGCCAACCAATCAGAAAGTGCTGCCAAAAGTGAGGGCGCTATATCATTTTCGTCCCAAGCTTTAGACGTTTGTGCCGCGGACGCTCAACGGCATGCAAGGAGGGAAAACTAGTGTGACAAAAAAAAAAGACATCACGGTATAGAACTGGGAGACATTGAGCAGATATGGCACAATGGGGATGAAAGGGATAAGCAACGACGCGCTGGTCATAATCAGACTTTCAATCCGCCATTACAGTTTTTGAGGCTGAGTTATCAACTTCTTAGTCTCATTTTAAAGGTAATGTGCAACGTTCCACTGACCTGTTCAATGTTTTGTGCGAGAAAAAACAAGGAAAGACGCTATTTGTTTTCAAGCGTCTAAGTTCATGCAGCTCGCAGAATTTGTCTTGTATAGGCCGCGCCTGAAAGTCATAGGTCACACGCCCCTGCATGAGTGCCGGCTGTGACATCCCTTAATGGTCTCGAAAGCCACATTACTCAGAGCCGTGCAGATTGAATCAAACAATTGTATCTTATTGCGGTTTACGATATTTATGATTCAAAGTCGAATTGCATTTGCAGTTATCTTGTCAGTAGCGTTTGTGCATTATGCTTATCTCAGTCTTCATGTTATCTCAGGCTTCATGAACACTTGATTCGCATGTGATCCGAGACGTGACATGATCACAAAAACATTCTGATTGATTGACTGACTCGAAGTTTCGAAATAAAAATCCAATTAAGGCATATTTATCTTAGACCACAGGGATAGAGCTGGACTGATAAGCTTTGGCAAGGACTCGTGACGCAAAGGGAAAAAGTTTGTTTGCTCCAGAACTATCGGCCATAGGCTTCAAGTTTGTGCTGACACATGACGTTCGGGCAGTACAATTCCACGAACAGCTGTCCAGTATTTTTTCACATGCAGAAATGAATATCATAATTAGACCCGGATGCGCTGATATCTTTACTATAAGCCCCCATTGCAGTGTTTGATATCGAGTTTGCCGTTCTATGGTACAGGACTAAGGAACGCCAAACAGATGATTTTACAAATTGAGTAATGAATGAGGGAATTTAGCGGGCATAATACTCACTAATTATTAAGGTAAACGCATGACTTTGAAAGTTAAAATTAAGTGTTTGCTACTGCCTTTAACTAGGCCTCTGCCAAGACATTGTCGTCACAGTTTAAAGTGATTATAGTCTTGATTCCGGTCACATTGTCCGTTTAGGTAAACGTGACCCCCCTGTCGTGGGACGGTGGACCTGATATTCCACAATGGATTGTCATTCGTACTTGTCATGAATTGCTGCTCCAATCTGATGTTGACAGCTTTTATTCGATGGCTTTATACACAGGCTGCAAATACGTCTAGGTATAAGACAACATTTGATGTCCGCGTCAGATGTAAATATTCAACAGGTCTTTATAAACACTATCTCCATATCTGGAAACATTATATGGATTTCTTTTGACTCGGAAATTTGAAATGGGTTGTCTAATCAATTTTAAGAACTAGAAACAGAAGAGGTCTTCTTAAATTAATGTATGCTATACAAAATACAGACGGGACTAATATAGATATTCCACTCAATCAATATCTTCATCCACAATCAAGAATTTCAAGGGCTTACAATCAGAATTTTCGGCAGCTGAGGGCATACAGGGACTCACTCTTCGTTTGCACCATCATCGATTGGAACAAGTTACCAGCAAATATAGTCAGCGGTCCTACCATTGAGAGATTCAAGTCCAGTCTCCAGCATCACTCTTTTAAAAACAACGACTGTATTTATAAGTTCAACTCATCCACACGCAGCGCAGGTTAGCGTGATGTATCCAGATAGGATATTTTGCTGAGCTGACTAAATGAATGAAGATGAAGATGAAGTTCAAGACGAAGTTGAAGATAAAGTTGAAGAGAAAGTTGAAGATGTGAAGTTGAAGCTGAAGATGAAGTTGAAGATGAAGTTGAAGATGAAGTTAAAGATGAAGATGAAGATGAAGATAAAGTTGAAGATGAAGTTGAAGATGATCTTCAACCGAAAGTGCACCAAATGAGTGCGCAGCCGTCAAACGATTACTGGTGAACATTTTCAGCACAGAAAAAAAATAAATATATTTCAGGTTAAAACAACTTCCAGAACAATTCATTGTTGTTTCCCCCGCAATGTACTGGTATAAACCAGTACCTGGCGGCTCGCCCCCGATAATTCGGTTGATGCATCATGCTAATAATGCTGACCGATCGTTGCACTTTAATTCACAATGCCAGGTCAAAGTTCTAAAAACGTGCTATAAAATACGTCGTGTGCTTGATATCCAAGCAAGACCAGCCGAACAAATACAACAATCAGCACCGATCGCAGCAGTTGCATTGGCATCTCCCTTGAAGCTATACAGATTCCAGTTGGGAATTCGCGAGTCATGGCGGAAGCAGTTGAAGTCCTGAGTCTGTTAGCTCTCCTTTCTACAGCCGTCCTCCTGGTCGGGTTCCTGTCGCTTACGGTTTACCTAGCTTATGTACACCGCAAATATGCCCATATTCCAGGTCCTCCACGAAGCGAGTAAGTATAATATTCGTGATTCTCAAGTCCTACAAACCTTAAGTTTGGACAACTCTACTCAACTTAGGTCCGGGGGTCAACGATAGTTTTTTCTTGTATGTGCAACGTTGAATCTTGTGTCCCTCTATTTCAAAGTGTCTTAGGGTGAGACAAAAAGAGCGGAACCCAAACCCCTAAAAATATATTTCATATTTAAAAAAAAATATGAGGCAACAAAAATAATAATGACTAGAAAGCCAATTTCATAAACTACTTTTTAGATGAAAAAATAACTTAAATTGCTCAAGCCATTCGAAAAATTTCACCTTTTAAACGCAATGACCCCTAAAATCTGCCGCGCCAAAATTAAACAGCAATTTATTGTGTGTTTTGACTGTTTGGAACAACAAAGAAAATGACAGAGAAAACTTGTTCCAACAACTGTAATACACAATAGCTTTTAATAGACGGGCCTTCAGAAGGACTTTGTTAATTATTTTTTCAATTTTAATGGAGGTTTTATCGCTGGTGATGTTTGAAGACGATTGTGACGACAATTCTTGAAATCGCTTTTATAGACGAGGCAGGTTTTACATTGTGTTTAAATGGTATTGTTTGAACGGATTGAGCAATTTCAGTATTTTTTTTCATCTCAACTAAAAGTAGCCATGGGCGTCGCAAGGATTTTTTCTAGAGGGGGGCAAAACATATTTTTTTCCAAAAAAGTCCTGTATTTCTCAACATATTCTCGATTTCTCAGTTTTAGAGGGGGCAGGGACATTTTGCCCCTTCCCAACTCATTACATTTACACCACTATGACTTCGTGCCTCTTCTTCTTTTCTTTTCTTTTCTCTTTTTTCCCCTTCCTTTTTTTTTGGGGGGGGGGGGGGTTTCCGGGGGGGGGAGCAAGCGCCCCCCTTGCCCCACCCATTTGCGACGCCCATGAAAGTAGCTTATGAAATTGGCTTTTCAGTCATTATTATTTTTGGTGCTACATATTTTTTTCAAATATGAAATATAATTTGGGGGGTTTGGGTTCACACTGTATTTAACGACAAGAAGAAACAACAAGAAGAGCATAGAATCATAATATTTTAAGATTCTTTATGTCATGCAATGATTTTCAGCACTTCCAGACTCTCAAAGTCACGAAATACACTCCGATATTTGAATGCCACACTTCGAGATAAGTGTCATTAAGCCACCCACGGTGTAAATATAACTAACTGCTAACTCGAATTGATATAAGCCTAATCTAATCAAGGTCAGAGTATATGTTTCAAAGTCATGCAATGATTCTGAGCGCCGCGAGACTCTCAACGTCACGAAATATCCCGATATTTGACTTCCAAATTTCGAGGTATCAAGCCACCCACGGTGTTAGTACGACCTACTCGAACTGATATCAAGCCTAATCTGATCAAGGCCAAAGTATCGTATTCAAAAGTCACTTTATTAAGCCAAGACAGATTTATTTTTGAACTTGAACCCGGTGCATTAAAGTTATATTTATAGGAGGTGCTTACGTGAACTAGCGACCGTATTAGGCCGCTACACGACCTCGACTGTAAAGCATTATTTGCACTGCGAAATGGCGTGACCTGACATTGAACGGTCATGTCCAGGTCGTGATGCCAAACGCTGATAGTCCCCAATCACAACCTCTATCCCAGGGTCTCCCTCCAACTTAAAAGCAAACTCCGGGAGGGTAACGGGCTAATTCCCGTTTTCTTACTAGTTAAACTACTCATGGATTCAGTTTTGTGTACTTGGTGATTTTAATTTTCAACGAGCGTTCCGTGTATACGAAAATTGTTCCCAAATCATGCCGATAAATCATCTTCAAAAAAAAAATCGATTCCCCATATTTTGCTTCCTTGTCATTTTTAGAATAAAGAAAAATAGCTTGTTTTCCTGATTTGACGGAAAATTTAAACGAGTTCAGTCTTGCACATCGGACACCTTATTTAAAAGAAATAATTGAGTAGCACATCTATCAGAGAATTACAAAGGGGTGGCGTGCTGCTCAAACACCAACGACTGTGTAGATTTTTATTTTGTTTTGATTTTTTTTCAAACAAATAAAGCTTTTTACTTTGCCTTGCATCTTGGTTTTGGATGACAAACAAGCAATACAGTTTGTGCACAAACCTATGGGGGCAGTGAACCAGTCAAATTTTAAAATATTTTTCCTTTGGTATTTTTCCAAAATTAACTAATCATCAATTCACCTATCAATGCACAGAACACAAGAAATATAATTTTAAAGTAAGAATCAGTCTTTTTTAACTTTTGAAGAAAAAAAGGTACCATTCATCAGGTCCACAGGAAAGATTGTGATCAGTGTTGGGAGACGTGAGCTTGAAACATTGATTCTGATTGGCCGATACCGGCAGGGACTTAGTCCATAAGTCATGCATGAAACTGAAGGGATTCTCCATAACTTTGTTTCATTCTGATAAGCTTTAACAATTATGTTTCAAACAATTATGTTTCAAACGTTATTTGTTATAACGTCACCTCATTTTTATTAACATGTTTCAAACAAAATCGTTTTTTTTCTTTAAACAGTTTCTTCTCTGGACATTTGCGACAAATAACCGGTTGTGTCTCTCTCCCTCACTATCTCACTGAACAGTAAGTTTTTTTCTTTGAACTTATGTCATAATCAAATTGAATACGACCCCCACCGGCCCACCCTTTATTCGTTAGTACCCGCTGGTGCCTACTTTGTTTAAAGGCATAAAATGATCAGTTGCTTTTCATGCATTTGTTTTTGTTTCAAATAATTAAACACCACCCAAAAATCCAAAGAAGAATGTTCAAAACCTAACCTGTTGTAGTTTCAGCTCAAAGGATATTAAAGTTTTTCAAAACCCACGCACAACTTTTTGATCTGGAAATTGTCGATAGCACTCTTTATTTGAAAAATCAGTAAATTGACTGATCGTTGGAAATCACCTAATTTCCTGATGTCCTCGAAATGAAAGCAAGCCAGACGGAATAATTTCACGGGGTGTTTAGTACCAGTATGATCTTTAATCCAAGTAAGCTTCTTCCTAATAAATCGGTAGGTTGATACCAATGAAAAAAATGCAAATGATCCTGCTGACTCAAAACTGATATTTTCAAAGTGGACGACAAGTTATGTTTTGCCGATTTGTATCTGTCAGTGAGAATGACGAAGACGCACCGTTGAACTTACAACGATTAACGAATCAATATAAAGGATGGATCAAAACACTTATTACAATAGTATTGCCAAACACTAATTACAAGCACATGAGCATCAGCAGCAGCATAAGCAGCAACAGCAGCATAAGAAGCATCAGCAGCATCAGCATCAGCAGCAGCAGCAACAACAGCAGCAGCAGCAGCAGCAGCAGCAGCAACAACAGCAGTAGCAGCAACAACAGCATAGCAGCAACAGCAGCAGCAACAACAGCAGGAGCAGCAGCAGCAACAGCAGCAGCAACAGCAACAGCAGGAGCAATAATATACGAAAACGTTATGAGCAATCCAAATGTACGAATATTCCCACCCCCACCGACTATGAAATGTTACGCGCCCTTTCAAGGAAAATATGATTTTCAGTGGCTTTTCCCCGAACAATTATGTGCCTTTACAGGATGCTCGCGTATGGTGCAGTGTATAAGATGTTCATTCTACAAAAGCCCGTCGTTGTCGTTCTTGAACCAAACTTCTTGAAGGTAAGTTATTCTCCCAAGCATGCCTTCTCGCTGATAGCAAACCTAATGATATCATTTATATTTTCCTAAAAGTTATTCTCAAGAAAGTACTGTTTACATTTCCGTCTGACATGCTGCCATTTTGAAGAAGCTCAAAACATATCCTTTCCCTGCTTAAAATTCAATTATTTCTTCGCTAACGAACAAGCCAGTCCGATATTGAAATTGTACAATCATGCATATCAAGATTTGATGATTTCTAAGACGAGGTAAAATACATGTGCGAAAGTCTACTGGGGGCATTGGTAAATGTAACTGCAATCTTCAGTTTCAGTGAATTGAAAGAAGAGGACAGAATGTTGCGCATTATGTTGAAGCATACAAAAATCTAATATACGGTTAAACATTTTGATAGCTATGTGCTTACGTCAGAACGAGGTTGATTCATTTCGTGGTACCTTCCTGTGTTGTATATCCCGAGGGAAAATAGCAAATATCGATATGCGCATGTGCAGGAACAAGAAACCGCTATTTTCTCACCATTACCGAAGAATACTTGTGAAAATCTTTATCCTATTGGTCTTTCAAATATTTGACCTGTAAACACGAAATCTTTTGAAAATGTTGCAATCCAGTCCTCTCCAGTCGTCGCAATCATGCCAATGACAAGTCGTATTGCTATAGTCTATTCTCAAATCATATGACTCGCTATTGGACATTCCTTTTATCGAATGATCATCCCGTGTTTCTTCTGATCCGACTCGCGAATTTACTTGTGATTGCCTTGATTACAAATCTGCCTCTTTATGAGAAATGAAAAATAAATGATTTGTTTTCTCAGGAAGTCATGCACTCCACATCGCACACTAAACCGGCAGTGGAACACGCCAATTTCTGGCATGTCTTCGGCAAACGATGTTTCTACCATGGTCTGCTTACAGAGACAAACGTTCCCAAGTACTTAAAAAGAAGGGCGCTGTTCAATCCCGCTTTCCACAGAAGGTACGTTTAGAGCGTGTATCTACGGCTGCATCCGAATCAACTGTCTAGAGCTAGGTCTAGGTCTGTGCCCGTTGAAAATACGCGGGGACACGCTGACAATAGACTTAGCCGTAGCTCTGGAAGCCCGTTTCGGACACGGCCGTCTCGCCAATCCACCTTCACTTTGTATGTGAACGTCTTGGTACCAAACACTGACTAGTCTAGTCACAGACTCTCGCGTTTTAATTTACCAAATTGTTTTCTGCGTGATCGATTGGACGAAAGTTGAGGTTAAATAATGTAATTTTATAAAAGTCATCAATTCTCAATTTCAATATGTAAATTGCAATGCTTTCTTTTCTTTCGAAATGCCCAGTTAATGACATCGAATGGACGGCCCCAGTCATTACACTTAATAAATGCCCTTACACACGTTGTAGATGCACCCTGTAAATAGGCGTCCACCCATCCGCCGAGCTCATGAATACAAATTATTCCTTCAAAATATTCTATATTAGAGAGTTCTGAGAGCCATCAAATTGGGGAATTGAAGAGATATTGCAATGAACCTCTTCAAAGATTCCAATTCTGAGCATTTTGGGTGCAATTGGGCTCGAAAGTGGCGCTATTTTGCCATGTTGTGGAGAGATCGTTCTTCAAGATGGCTACTTTTCCGCTTCGGTAAAAAAGGGGTCGTCTTCTTTGGGTGAGAATTTATCGAACATTCAATGGCCAACCCACCAAAAAATTAAAAGCAAATCAAAGATGACATATTGATCACCATTATTCTGTTCAGCTTAAATACCTAGCCCCTGTGAGAGTTCTGAGTATTTTTACAAATTTTTTGAAGTATAGGCATTTAGCACTGGTGTCTATGGGAATTTTAATACAGGGGTGCATCCTATATAGGCCACTGGCACAGTCACATTTTATTTTCTCTTAATGACTCCGTGTAACAAAAGTTTGCTTTGACTCCGTGTAACAAAAGTTCGCTTTGGACACCCACGAGGAACGTACGATGAGCGTTATCAGACAAACGATCGAGCTTTAAATAAATCTGATCTCACTGATGGAGAATTCGAACTGGAGGCTAACTTGGGACTATTTTGAAGAGTCTAAAGTTTGCTTGATAACACATATGACGAGTGCTTGATCAACATTTGACTAGGCTAAGCAAACTTAGACGTCAGATCACCCGCAAACTATTTCAGCGATCTGGAGGGCAGGTTTACAAGGGCACACAGCCGTTTTTGTCGAGACCAACCAACTCCTGTGACAATTACAATATTATATACCAAGTGGGAGTGCAATGCGACTTATAAATTTAAGACTTCAGTCGATCGTCGCCAGAGTTCAAAGGCGGTGATCCGGAGTCAGGAGTTTAAGACGTTAATTCAATGACACTCGATCAACGATCCACCAATCAAATGACGGGGATTTATTCAGGTGTTGTATAATGCGGAAAGGAATGCGGTTCGGACAAAAAAATTGCCGATTGAAAAGAACCAATTTCGCGCATTATTTCACAAGACCCACATTTCTATATATTTTGATGTGAGAGGTACATTGCGGATAATGTGCTCGAAAGGCGGTGATAACGAGCGACTTTCCCCCTAGCTGCATACTGCTTCCAAACTCGCATCATCTCTATCATGAACACACCCGAGGCTGCTGCTTGAATAGAGGAGGGGGCGTGACTATTTGGCAGGGACATTTGGGGCGTTTGGAATGTGGGAAGAAATGCAAATCAAAGGGGAGCCGCCAAGATATCAGTATATGAAAATACAGAAATAGTACTTTAATGCACCATGTGATAATCTTGGTGGATTTAAAATATTTAGATTCGGGATATAAGTGGATGTGTTACAACACCGTCTATAGCCTGTTGCCGTTCCTGAGCCTGTCATTCTTAATGTACAATGACAACGGATTAACATAAGTTAAAGCCTTAAGTCATAATAAGTTAGCGTCTTTATCTACTTGTTACATCTTTTTAAGGTGGCTAATACAAATTGTAACGCCGAATTACTTGGGATCTTCCGTTGCTATTCAGTACCTTGCCAATTTAACCTGACGGTGTCCGCAACTCTATTTAAAATAATTTTAGTGGTGGTTGGGAGGTAAAGCCCAAATAAGAATTAGATCACACTTTCCCTTGAAATAAAATAGGTGCTTTGAAATGTTGCCTTTTACAAAACCAAACCCACAGAAAAGGGTAACACAAACTTAACTGACAAACATCGATTTTGCAGGTATTTGATGAATTCCATGGACGCCTTCAACGACAGTGTAGACTTGCTTATTGAGAAACTCTCCCCTGCAGCAGATGGAAAAACAGAGGTCAAGATGTTGGATGTTTTCAACAAGATTACACTGGATGTAATTGCTAAGGTAATTTGAGAACTTATACAATTGTGTGGGGAGCACCCTGGTGATACAATAGCAGGCCTATTTACCCATTTTTTTGTATGCAATGTACAAACAGAATTATTATGCAGTATTTCGCAATATCTGATTCATGTACTTTGTTTTCACAGTGATATTTGCGTGAGCAATTTTCTGTGGAAAAATGCATTGCAAGATTAGTGTTGACCATATTTTGCATATATTAAAAGGGGTAGAGAGCTCATTTGCAATCACTTGAGTTTTGGGGCGGGTACAGACGGGGGCTGAAGGGGTTAAACGGCTCACTTAAACCGTAAGGAAACCGTTGTTCTGCTTAATAACCAGGTTGCCTTTGGGCTGGAGCTAGACGATGTCATGGAAAAAGATTCCCCCTTCACCAAGGCCATCGTCTCGACGCTGCTCGGGGTTCAGTCTCAGTTTTTCGAGCCATGGAAACGGGTAAATATCACAATAAGTGTGTATGCTTTGGCCGCCTGGAAACTCTGGAGGTTGGGCCGGCAAGGGGGAGTTCCCAGACTCCGTCACAAAGAGACCTTTCTTCACGCCACACTTGTATTTGTCAAAAGATGGCTTGTTACAACGTGTTACACCAACCGATAACGTCACACAAAAATGACCGAAACTATATCACTAACGAATTACCGATAATGTCGTAAAATGTACTACACTATCAGTCAATAACTGTTGTCACATTATTAGTCACAACCGATGATGTAACAAAAATTTACTGAAAGTTGACTGACAGTGTAGTAACATTTATCAGTCAAGTTTTGTTAAATCAGACAAAGCCAAAACCAAAATGCAGAAGCCTGCCTCTTAAATACCGAGGGTACCAAAAAAATGACATGTCGTAGGCACATTTGCCGACCATGGTTGAAACTTATGCAGTCAAATAGTTTTAAACTAAAGAAAGATGAGTGGAAACAACAATGAATCACTTATTAAAATTTGCTCTTTTGGTAAATGATATTTCCCAGGGAATATAATCAAGACATGTCGTAATTTTTATGGAGTTCGATAACCACAATGCGAAAGGCAACTCGAGAGAGAAGGGTCCTATTCACATTTCTCTTGTTTTGATATACATTAATTGAATGGAAGGTCATGATTAAGGCAAGTGATATAATCTTCACAATCCTCAGCCGTGGGTTTACGGCTGAGCAATGTGAAGATTATTATCACTGTACCAGATCATATATTAGGAGGATAACTGTATGGGTTACGAGAGATCGCAAATAGTGTATGGCAAAATTGAGCCTTGCGATGTGAGATAATTCCATTGGTTATGTGCATCAATCATAATTTGAGTTTTTTTCCTTCATTCTTGCCGCTCACAGTTTAGCCCACTGGCGGCCGACCGCAAGTTCCGTAGCGATGTCCGTCGGTCTATCAGGTACGTCCGGGAGACGGGGCGTCGGTGCATCGAGGCTAGAATGGAGGCCAAGAAACGAGGAGACAAGCTGCCCAAGGATCTTCTGACTTACATCCTAGAGGCATCCAAGAATTTTCAAGCTGATGAAGACTTCCATATTGAGGAAATGATTGACGAGTTCTTCACTTTCTTCTTCGCAGGTACCGTATACAGTTTCGTGCATCGGCGGTGATTTTTTTGGGGGGAACACCCCCCATCCCTATCAATAAATATGTTTAAAGTAGAAATAAACAGATGAAAACGTAAAAAATATCAAAGATTTGTTATATAACATTGATTGCAAACTGACGAAGTTGCTTCGTCTATTGTACGCTTGGCAATTGCAGACGTCGAAATTGAAATGTCTTTCACGAAAAAGTATGGCTAATGTATGAAATCGTTTGAACAAAGTGCGAAAATGAGCGACCAAAGACGAAATTGAACTGGGGTATGCAAGATCATGACTTTTCCAGACGAAATTGAAGTAAACTTTTTAAACTTTTAAAATGTGCGGGCAAATATATAAAATATATGAATAGCTGATGGCTAACGAGGGAGATACGCAAACTTTTCATTTATTTCCTGAAAATTTAAGACAAAAAGGTGTTTGCACTCCTCCGATACAAAAAACCACATACATAATACTAATTGGGTGCAGCCATGGCACCCGTTGCCTCACCAATGCTTTCATTTCACACCTATTTTATTCACATTTTCAATTTTAAGAGTAAAAAACAACGTGGTTTCTATACATTTTGACAATTTTGGCAACCGAAATGTTTTACTTCATTCCACGAATACCCATTGAGTCTCAGCATGGTTTCTGTCTGCTGCTGTGAATTTTAAGACATTAGGCAGCAACAATGTTATATAATGTGTTCTTTAAAATTGTGTTTGATTCGTATAGGCCAGGAGACCACCGCAAATTTAATGGCGTTCATCTTAGTGGAGCTAGGACACAATCCAGAGATCTACGAACGGTAAATCCATAGAAATACCCCAAACCCCAATACAATCCAAATAATTGTAATAACTGAAAACCCAAAACTAACGAACGAAACCTGAACCCCATACACGCCAAAGAAACACCCTCAAACTTCCAAAACCTTAACACACAAAAATGCACGACCGGCTACGCGAGTATCCAGCTAACCAACAAAATAAAAACAAACACGCAAAAAAAAACATCAATCCTAAACACCAATCCTAAACACAAAATCCCCCCAATTTAGTAAACCAACATTCTACTATAACGTAATTTTGATGCAGACATTTGCCAAACCGGACGTCTTTCAACTATTGATATTTAAAAAAGATTTCCGTTTTTAATTTTCCAAATACTAATTTCTGTGTAGAGTGATGACAGAGGTCAATGCTGTGTTTGGTGACAAGGATAGGATTGACTATGCCGATCTCGGCAAGCTGGAGTATTTGTCCATGGTAAGTACTTCAGTGTGTTCTTCTCTATTTCAATATCACAGCTGTTTTTCAAGGTAGGCTATCTCGTGTAGAGACAATATTAAAAAAAACCATTTCAGATAACAGTAAGGTGGAATAAATTTAATGGCAACGGATGCCTGGGGGGGGGGGGGGTTGAGATAAAGAGTAGCGGTATGCAAAATCAAATGGAACTTCTTTTTAGTAAATTTTGAATTTTGTTTGATGGAACTATACATACAACGTCTGAATAAATCTTATTGGTGGGTCGTTGATCACGTCATTGAATTGTTCGTTCCAACCCACCGCAAAAATAGAAGTTCGATTTCCACGGTAAATAGAATTTCCATTGCACGGTCACGCGCTTGGTGGTTCTGACCAATCAGAGGACAAGAATTTATTCAGGCGTTGTATACAACAAATAATGAATATTTCACATTTGTGCATTTGGTGACAGATGGAATGTTCGCCTCGTGGAGTGGTACATTCCATCTGTCACCTCATGAAATTATTCTCACCATTGCACTCATAAACATTCAATATTTGTATAATGCCCTTATCCATCCATTTGATTGTATTTCACTAAAACACCCTGACAAGTGGAGTAAAGCCGCTGCTGCGGTACAGGTCGCTGTCAAACGAGATGAATCAAATCTAGGCTTTGGGAACTTCGGCAACGCTACCCAAGACTGAATTTGATTCAGTGTGTTGGAGTGCAACCTCTATCGCTGCGGCGGCTTTAGTGCGCTCATCGGGGACCAGCTGCATCAGGGGAAAAAACAGGATGCAGTCTTGAACAAAGACTATCTCGTGACTTTAAGCTCGGTTCAGGAATGCCACCGAGTGTACGACATAGTGTATGAAAAACCTAATGCAGCTTTTTAAAACTTATGTTTTACCACGTGCTCAGGTAATCAAAGAAACTCTTCGTTTGTGGCCGCCAGCGTTCGGTACCAATCGTCTAATGGCTTATGACATGTCTGTTCTTGGATACAAGATACCTGAGGGAACTGTGGTTTGGGTAAGCTTTTAGGAGCAGATGCTTCCCTCTTCAACTACAAGATGTGGCTCTCCGTTGGGGTCTAATAAACTATATAGACGGCTGCACGCCACACCTTATGTCCCTCGGAGACCATTTTCGTGGTACATCACTCAGAGCAATGCAAACATAAGTGATTTTGTTATAGTTTTGAGACCGCATGATACGAGTATCTTTGTGGCATTGCTGGAGGCACGCTACATTAAAAGTTCACAAGTCGTGCCGCATCTAAACTTTCCTTCTGGGTCTTCTGAGGTTGCAGGCCCGTAAATAGGCCCCAAATTGCATACACACCACGATTTGCATGCCTTCAAATTCTCTGCTATCAGTGTATTTTGTGGGCCATGATCTTGAGGGTTTGTAAAGAATTTGAGCAGAAAATGAAAGATAATGAATAGAACTTTCATAATGAAAGAATGACGATGAGCTTTAATTTGATGGGTGTCTCAAACAATTTGGAGAGTTGTGAGTATTTTCCCTGATTTTTGGAAGTGGGGGTATTTATCACTGGAGTCTATGGCATATACTGGTCTAATTTGAAAATGGTGGCGTCCATCATACTGCGTCTGTGGGGCTATTGCTGTCTAAATATGTGTTGATTAGACAATGAAATAAAAAAAACCACTTGTTTAGACAATTATTGACAAACAAAGTATTTCAGTGGGAAAAGGCAATTTCAGTGGGAAAGGGGATATTTACAAACGTCAATTCACAGGCAGACAATTAGGCAGAAAAGCTGTTGAACACAGTCCTCATGTTCAGACCCGCCTGTTACTGACTTAAGAGTATTGTTTCCTCAATTGTTAGATGTAATATGATTTAGCAAAATAGCAAAATGTCTGGTATTTATAGGTTGCAGGCCAGTAAATAGGCCCAACATTGCCAGATCACGATTTGTATGCCCTCAAATTCTTTGCTATTAGAGTATTTTGTGGGCCATAAACTTGAGGATTTGTAAAAACAAAAGCTGACCATAGAAGCCGTGAACAGGACTGCGAGCTTGTATCCTGTGAAATTTCGATGAAGTAGAGGTCTAATATTGCTCTATTTTGCAATAGAGTGTAGGCATATTTTTTTAATATGGCGATGGGCTTCAGGACCACTTATAGGGGTGATCATCTTTAGATGGAAATTTCTCCCAAATATTATCAGATTACCCCCAACAATTGAACAGAAAATGAAAGATGATGAAATAAGCTTTAATTTGATGTGCGTCTCAAATACCATGGAGAGTTGTGAGTATTTTTGGAAGTGGGGGTATTTATCACTAGGGTCCATGGCGGTTTATTTACTGGTCTGCAACCCTAAAGACGCCCTCAGGTCGACCTGCGATTTAGAAGGTTTATAGCAGGGCGCCCTCATAACATAATGAGCGAGCACGGTACGGTAAAGTTTACGCAACGAATGACTTTCCGCTGGCCGAAATTAATCCAAGAGCGAACGCACGGTAGAACAACCATGGACCACAATGGAATGTTAACAATCACTCGCGGTAACTTTGTTTGCAAAAATAAGTCTAATGCGAACGCGGCTTAGCTGAAACACTTTTTTTTTTTACCCTGAATTGGTTCATATAGATAAACGAGGGCCTGTCTTTGGCTGGCGTTTAAAGAAAAAGTTTTATAAACCCCATCCATCTGAACTCCATAATGTCTTTTACAGTTCAATACTTACGTGATGGGAAGGATGGAGCAATACTTCAAGAATCCAATGGTTTTCGACCCGGAAAGATTTAACAAGACAGACAAGGGGCAAAGGTGAGCTAGATCTTTTAGAGCAAACGAGTTTCCCAGACTTTTAGAGTTGATTTTTTTTTTTACATTGGCAACCCTTGTGATTAGCAATAGGAGTAGCATAGGTAAGAGATACTGCTTTCGGTAAGAGAGGTAAGAGATACTGCTTTCGAATCAAATCCCTTCCAAATTGAATTTGTTCACAGGTGTCCAATCCAAAATGAAGTAACAATTATTCTGCATCCACTGTGTTTCGCACAATTATTGCTAGCTATGGAAACAAGTTTAAACAACGGCTCAGTTGGTCCATTTTATGCTTCAGGAATGTCAAGTGCTATAAGCGCCGGGTGAAGATAAAACCGAACCGGAGACGAAGCCGAGGCTTGGTAAATCCCAATGGCAATAAAACAAAACCCATTTGCATTGTTTCTTTCTATTCCAGGGAGAAGAATTTATTCACCTACTTCCCCTTTTCAATGGGGACAAGAGCCTGTATTGGACAATCCTTTGCACTGGTAAGATCACATAGTTCTTCTCTATGACGAAAGAATACACTCTATCTCACAAGTCGGACCTAATTTGCTTTGCCGCCATCTTTAGGTTGCGTGTTTTGGATAGGTATGACTATGAGTAGCTCTCTTGTGCAATATTCACCTCCAAGTTGACTGACGAATGCAACGAGTCGAAACAATAATTGGCATATTCTTATTTTGTGAGTCATTGTTACGTTTCCAATAGTCAACATACAAAGTGTTTCAATGTTGTGATTCATTGATGCATTCCCAATAGTCAAAACACAAAGTGTTTCATTTTTGTGATTCAATGTTGCATTGCCAATAGACAACACACAAAGTGTTTAAATGTTGTGATTCATTGTTGCATTTCCAATAGTCGACACACAAAGTGTTTCGATGTTGTGATTCAATGTTGTATTTCCAATAGTCAACACACAAAGTGTTTCAATGTTGTGATTCAATGTTGTATTTCCAATAGTCAACACACAAAGTGATTGAATGATGGCTGATGAATGCAAAGACTCGAAACAATAATTAGCATATTCTTAATTGTTTTGTGAGTCACCGTTGCATTTCCAAAAGTCAACCCATGCGGAGGTTAGGTGTGTGTTCGTTGGTTGAACTTGCGAACCACATCGGTTCGGATATATTTTGAGCCCGCGTGCTGTTGGCACAATTTACAATGCCCCTTTACTCATCAGTTGCTCCAATTGTACGAGGTTATTTTAAATCATAATGTGGTTTTCAATCTCATTTTGAGGTTTTAAATTCTTACAGAGATTGCGACTATCGAAATAATCACACTTTGAAACACAGAGTTAGCCTCAACAAAAGTTTAGGCATAATTATCTGCATTGCTAAGGCTTGACAGATTACATCAATTGTCTTTGTTTCTTCTAAACATTAAAAAAAAAATTGGTTGATGATTTTTACGGAATTTAAAGGTTAAACTGGAAGTAAAGCCTAAGGTTCATGGACCTTTTTATTCCAGCTTTTTGCTCTTTCAGAGTGAAAATTCACTATATTTGAGTGAAAATTTGCTCCATCCCACCAAAAGTGGAGCCAAGACGATTATAAAAAGTGAAACCTTTATTTTCACTCGACTTAAGTGAATCTTTTTCAAAGTGTTTCAATCTTAATCACTATTGTGATTTTCACTCTAAATCATAAACCCTATAATTTCACTCCTTGGAAATCAGAGAGTATCATTGTAGAAATATTAATGTCATGGCCTTTTCTTGTCCTTTGTTTTTTGGCTCAGATCGAAGCTCGCCTCATCATTGGTCGTCTTCTCCACAACTTCAAGTTCACTCTAGTACCAGGCCAGCCGCGTGATGAAGTCCTGCAAGAGATAACGATTAAGCCGCGCCAAAGATGTAGGAACTACCTAACACCTATCCGCTAAACAGTCATTATCATAGCGAGAGCATTGCACCAAGAAAGTGCCTTCTCCCCCTACACAATATTTTGCTGAAGTTATATTCTTCGCTCAATTTGTGTTAAGCAAATCAGAATGGGGTTATTTTATACAAGTTGAAATGTAAATACATATGTAGGACTACTGTAGTTCCGCTTACTACTTAAATATAAACCTCTTCCTTATATTTTGAAGTTACCTGTAGAACATCGTGATGACTAACATATTTTTTTTATTGATGATGTTTGTCCTGACTACTGTTGTTGTCAATCCTGATTCAGAGGCTGAAGAATCAAAACAATTATAATGTAGGCTTAAAATCAAGCTTACGTAATTTGATTGTCAACAAGCGCTCGCTCGAATTTAGAGCCGCAATCAATCCATTACATTATTATTCGTATGCCCCCTTTGTTTGAATTATTTGGCTTTAAGGACAATCATGTTTTCATGATTTTGTTTATAGTTGACATTAATTAATCGAGCAATTACCTGAGAAGTTTGAAGAGGATGCCGATTACAATGTTTTAACTATGTATATATTATTTGCCACCTTAACATCATGATTATTCTGCTATACGCTATGTTAAGATGCTGTGTTTCAGATTACGATAATAATGACTGTTAGAAGTATAGGTAGTTCTGATGACATTGTACATACTTTGAAGTAGGAAATCACCATTTCAGCGTAGCAACCTTAAATTTGCATTCCCGTGCTATTTTCTAGCTTAATCCCCGAAACTAGATTGCTATTCTAAATTGCTATTTTTTTAGCAATACGAAAGTTCCTCAAATTGGAATGATAATTTGACGTTGAAATGGCTCACCTTTAGTTGTTGAACTACTTCCTCACAATCATCCGTTCTGGCGGGATAGGCTGGTTCCCGCCCCATAATCAGTATCGATAATGTACGGACCGGCAGCCAGTCTGCTCTCAAGGCGGATCTGTTTGTGCCCCCCCCCCGCCCAAAAAATGCAAGTTTTAAATGTATTTAATAGAGAATGAGAAAAAAAACCCACGAATTAGTTGAAGAGCACGGAAATGCAACTTTAATTAATCTTTTTTGTGTTATGAATACTTAAAAAAAACTTAAGGGGGAATTGTCAGGAAATATATTCTGTGTGTGACATAAAAGTCGTATAGTATGCTACACTTATTCGTTGTGTTTCGAAAAGGTGCATGAAGATGTTGTTTTTACTTGCGGACTAAAAGAGCTCTAAAGGTCAACAAGTCATCTTTAAGTTTCTTTCCAATTTTCGGTGGGTTGACTAATGACTTTTAGAGAAATTCTCACGCAAAGAAGACGACCCCTAAAACGAGTGAGATTTCTCGAAGCGAAAAAGGTCGCCATCTTGAAAAACGATCCCTCCACAACATGGCTAAATAGCGCCACTTTTGGGACCAATTGCATCCAAAATGCTCGGAATTGGAACCCCAAGTCCGGGCCAGAGGTGCATTGCCGTATCTCTTTAATTGCCCAATTCCGTTGGTCTCAGAACTCTCAAATATAGAATAATATGAGTGTGTAACTTTTATTCATGGGCTGGGCGCGTGCGAGAAAAAAAGGACAAACAAGCTATGTTGGAAAATGTGTGCGGGTAAAATGCCCTTGTAAACATAGTGAAACAAAGGAACTTCATTGCCAACAAGATAATTTTCCATTTTTGGCCGGGATGTCCTTCAATCTTGTATGGCCGGGCGATAGCAATGTACTTTGCACCAAAGATCGTAAGATGTGAATTATTTGTTTCCTACACTCGATTTAGAAATGGTCCAGTGAATGCTCTTTTTGTTCGTGCAGTGCATTTGCTTTGCTTTAACTTTATATCCGAGCAGATCGGCCAGCTGCTTTTGTCTGTCCAGGTACACTTATACTGTTATCATACATATTCTTTATGCTGTTGTCTTTGTCCGCGTGTGTATTAAAATAAAATAATCCCTATGGATATAAAATAACACTTGATTAGTGTTTCGATGTCATTTATTGCATGCGAGTGTCAACTTAAATAAAGCAAAATTGTGCTTTTTCAGAATCGTAGTTTTGTTGGGAATGTTAAAGAGCTGCCAATTGTCATCAGGCTTCATTTAAATGCGGAACAAGTGACTTACTGGGTTAACCCTCACTGTGCAAAGTTCGAGGATGCTATTTCACAATTGTGGTAGCTTTGTACAGCCAAAAATATCTCATATCTATATCAAAAATAAGCGACAATGCCTTATAAGGCACGTCTGTTGGAAATGAGAGTCAATAAAAGCCCGTGAGCGATCGATGCACAAAGAGGTACTAGATAAAATGTAACCTATGGACATGCAATCTCAGCTAGCTGACCTGAAAATGTCAAGGGACTTTTGTAGGAGTTGACCTCCATTGCCACTTGCAGGTTGGGGTGCACCATTGGGTATTAATATAGCAGAAGTACAACACAGGCGAACTTGCTGCATTCAACTCCAGTATTCCAATTCAACCAAAATGGCAGAGGCTTCAATACTGTATAGAATCACAGTGTTCTTGGCTGCTCTTGTGCCAGCCGTTTTCCTGATAGGATTTGTGGGGTTTGTGTTGTATCTGTTCTACCAACACAAACGGTTTGCACACTTCCCAGGTCCACCACGAAGCGAGTAAGTGCATGCTAACAACAGGAAGAGCTGAGTATAATTATACAAACCACCTTTTGTTTTTGTTCTTATTCTGTGTTCGATAACATCAGTGGCCTATTGCGCAGGGATCTTTGGGGTGGGGAATGGGGGATGACTACAATAAATCATTGCCTGTCCGTGGACATTTGAACTGCGGGGGGGGGGGGGGGGGGGGTTAGGGGGTTAGAGCCGCTGTTCATGATATAGATGTACATTATACTTACGCCCCTTAACCTTACATCAAACCGGCGGATATAAAGCTATAACTTTTTCTCCCCTTACTATTTGTACCATGTACATTATTAGTACCATGTACTATCGAATACATCGTCGTTGGGAAGTTTGAAAGCTACCTCTCAATCCACAAAATATTAAACCCAAAAAACTGTGGGATGTCCCAGTAGCCCCCCCCCCCCCGCTCAACTTGAAGAGTGTTTGAATGTTGTTATTGTTGAAAACGAACAGAATGCATGCAAAAAAATAATCCCATGTGCCTTTAATTCAGAAACAATGAATTAAATTCGGAGAGAACTCATGCAAATCCCCGTGGAACGAAAGCACACTTCTCATTGACAGCCGCAAAGGAAATGATCTTTATTAGCTAATGTTCAAAGAGCCCTAACAAGTCGCTGATATAGCTAACGACACACCCATTACTATTATTATAATTATTATTATTATTTATTCGGCCAACAAATGAAAAAAAGTACAATGACAAAGCAAATATATATCATAAAGTAAACAAAAACTAAAAATTGAGAAAGTATGACCAGACAAGACAGATGGGACTGAAGGATGCGAGAAGGAATGGGGGGGGGGGGGGGGGGGGGGGGGGGGGGAGGAAGGGAGGGTGGACAGTTTGACAGGGGAGAGGAGATACATTGTAGAGGGACAGAAAACAAGGACAATAAAACATTCCAAACCGGCCAGGGTAAGCAAAAGTGCACTTAAACACTGTAGCCCTAAGGCCTGCCTACCCATGCTCGAAATGTCTACACAATAATTAAATAGATTTTTAACAAAATGTATACAATATAATATGAATAAATGAAAAGCAAATGAACAAAAACCATGCATGCACCAAGATGCGCTTCTCCTAACTTAAAGCTTAATGTTGCCTTCGCAAATTATTGTTCACAGCTTCTTTACCGGCCATGTCAGGCAGATGATTGACCGTATCAACACCGGCTCCTCGCTGGCAGAATATCTAACGGACCAGTAAGTCTTGAGAACTTCCCTTTTATCTCGCTGAAAAAAATTGTGATAAAAAATCGAACTGTAACACGGATAGACCCGTCTGTTACTAATAAAAGACGTGACAGTCACTCAAAGTCAATTTCAAAAAAAAAAGTTATGGGAAGATTTTAAGACAAACGCATAATCTTGTATCCATCTGGAAAGTCAATCTTTTCTATTGTTTCTCTTTGGGGGGGGGGGTCGGTAGTTTGCATAGAAGTTCCGTTTAACTTACGATAAGATCTAAATTCCGATTGGATCTCAAATCAGTGTTTCTGGTATCTTGTGCATATAAAACTGAGAATAGATTCATAAATAGTTGGGGCATAATATGTCAATTTGTCACCGACATGACACCACAATGGCGTTCCATAAGTTTCCTTCCGAAAATATCAGCCAAGCTATGTAAAGTAAAAAAATTCATTTGATAATGTGAAAAATCAGGATGACATTAAAGCTTTTGGTTTATAGCGGATTGTGTTGCTAAACATGTGCGAACACGTAGGCAAGCACGTGTACACCTAGTCTGAAATGCACCATTTCTGCGCCAATGTCTCTTTTGTGTTCTCCAGAATGAGAGTATACGGTCAAGTCTACCATCTTTTTATGTTCCATAAACCTGTGGTAGTGGTTCTGGAGCCCAACTTCTTAAAGGTTTGTTTATCAGTCCTTTTTGAATGCTGTTTTTTCTTTCTTTAAAACTGCTTTTTTTTGAAAAAAAAATGTTAGAGATCGACATTTCCGGCTTTTTTCAAGAGAAACACAAATCGTCCTCTTATCCTAATCGATCTTAAAAGATAATTGTAGATTTTGTTATTTTATGAAAATATGGTGATTTGAAAGGTACTTTGGACATAGTACCGTGGTCTATAACGCCAAAGTCAATACGAGATAAAAAGTTCCCTGACCTATTTGCGTGACTAGAAGGGCTTGCAAATGGCTTATTAGAAAATCTGCAAAGTTAGGAGAAATAGAAAAGCTTTAGACAAATAATCAACGTTAAGTTTAATAGCTGGCCTGATGTTTCGTTATAAACAAGACCTGCTTCTAAGGCAAATGACAGTGGTCCAAGAAACAAACACGCGGGCAAGGGAGGAAGGAGAAACACAAAAGAGGAATTAAACAGGGGATGGACCAAAAGAGTGTGACAGTGGGTGAAGATCAAAGGGGAGGATGGGGCAGAAAGGAACGGGGGGGGGGGGGGTTGATAAGGGAGGGATGACACTGGGGGGGGGGGGGGGGGCGGCAAAGGAGTATGGCAGTGCATAAAGTGTGAGATGAATAAGTTTTAGTCAAGTGAAGAAAATCAAATAGAGTTTACCATTAAATTAAAGAAAATTGACTTGGAATTCCAAACAATATTTATCAGTTTTAATCATCTTGAATACATCTGTCAACTTTCTACGAAAAATATTACCAACGATCAACCTAAATTGAGAAATATCTGTGCAAAGTAAAACCCATGCTATATTTCATTCCTGGACAGGAAGTAATGCACTCTACGACACACACCAAACCCCCAGAGGAGGCCAGTACGTTCTGGTATGTCTTCGGCCAGAGATTCCTTTACCACGGTCTGTTGACGGAAACAGACATTCCAAAATATCTCAAGAGGAGGGCGCTCTTCAGTCCTGCTTTCCATCGAAGGTAAATCAGCAAAAAAAACACAAAACAAACATACAACAACATGTAAATGTGGTATTTGTACTCCGACCTCTTCTCATATGCATTCTTTTCTGAAAGTAGAATACTTGTTACCATGGGTCTGGGAGGTAAAAAACCTGTAATTTTTGCACGTTTTTATATTTTTGTAACTTTTTCAATTCCTGATTCGACATGAGCAGGTTCGGTAGGCCAACTGCACATGCCCTCATCAATAAATGACATTGATTACTGAACTGGCAATCTGCATACTTTTGTGCATTCAGAAAGACGTAGACGGTTATCATTAGTTTTGCAAAATATTGGGTTTTAGTCCCTGCACAGGGTGCGGGATCTTGTCCATGGGCGTCGCGAGGGGGGGGCAAAAGGGGGGGGCACTTGCCCCCCCCCTGGAAAAGCAAAAAAAAAAAAAAAGGGAAGAAAAAAAAGAAAAAGAAAAGAAAGAGAGGCGCGAAGACAAAGTGGTGTAAATTTAATGAGTTTGGGGGGGGCAAAATGTCCCTGCCCCCTCTAAAACTGATAAATGGAGAATGTGTTGAGAAATACAAGCATTTTTTTGCAAAATACTTTTTGCCCCCCCTCTAGAAAAAATCCTGGCGACGCCCATGATCTTGTCTTTGTATTGTAAATCGGAACAAGACCGTTTCTTTGTCGTTACGGTTAATCCGAATATTTTGACGTGCACACGCACACAGTTGGCATAACAAACTGTCCTGTTCCAAGTTGATTGAAAACGTATTGTTCTCTGCATTATGATTATGGATTGGAGCATTAAAAGGAAACAATTTTGATTGTGCTCGGAAGAAGACACATCGTTTCTTTAATTAAATTCATTTAGGCCCACAGCAGAACAAGATCAATGGTAATGTATTTAAATGTTACCACTGGCTGGTCTATCAAAGAGTTTATCGCGAATCTGGCCCATTTCCCAGCCAGGTCCTCTAAGTATGTTACCACAACTCCTCTAAAACTCATCGAAAATCCTTTTTTTCCCCTCCTCAGTTATCTGATGAACCTGATGGGTTCCTTCAACGAGAGTACGGACATTCTGATTAACAAGCTGGCTGAGAAGGCTGATGGCAAGACGACGGTGTACATGCTAGATGAGCTCAACCAAGTCACATTGGATGTCATCGCAAAGGTATCAACCTCAGTATTGTCATTTTTTTTCTGGAACTTGAGTTAACATTTTTTTCCCCCAAATTACATTGTTGGGGAATAAAATTGTGTTTAAAGGATGAAGTTAAGAATAAGCACTGTGCCAAGGCATTTGTTTTTCCTGTTTTGAATTGAAAAACGATGCGAGTTAAAGGCAAGTGCTTAGTTTGGTATAGCAAAATCTCGATGGGTTGAATGGATAGAATTTACAGCAAACCTCTCGCAACATTGTTTCTGTACTTTTTTTCCCATACAAACACAACTATAGTGACAATCTGATGTGGCAGTGTTGAGCTATCTGTTGCTATTAAATTGAATACAAGTTTGTTTGTTTGTTTGTCTGTTTGTTTATTCGTTTGCTGGGTTGTTGGAGTTCGGGTTGTGTGTTTGTTTGTATTCTTTTGTAGGTTGCTTTTGGGTTACATCTCAACAAAACTGCCGACAGCGGGTTTTCGTTCACGACAGCCGTTAAGACGTCCCTAGAAGGCGTCATGGCGACTTTTCTTCAGCCCTGGATAAAGGTAGGTTTCGGTTTAAATTGATTAAGGACTAGAACTGCGTAGACACTCTCATTTTAATGAAACTTTCCCCAGTAAACTGAGCCATTCAGATCAAACAACATTCTCTTGGACAAGGAACCACCGGGTACGACGGGGCACATTGAGAAAAATGAATAATTTTTGTGAGTGGCAAACGCTCTTACATAATATGTAATCAGAATTGACTTTAAAAACAGTAAAAACCTTGCAAGACATTTAGTGGCTGCAGTGGCTATCACACATTGGCTTTATTTCTTGTTAAGTATATAAATCGAGTGAGGAGGTTTCTCGTTGTGACTAGATCTGTAGTTAGATCTCCAACAAGAGGAACCATTCTGTGTCTTAACTTACTGTGTTCATGAAAGGGGGGTATGCTCAACATATAGGCGTAGCCTGCGGGGGGGGGGGAAGGGGTATATATTTTGTGAAGAATGCCCTTTCCGTTCAAATGCCTTGTTTTTCACCAGCGCTTATCCCCCCCCGAATATTTTGTAAAGAGTGCCCTTTGTTTTAACAAGGGCCTTTTTTTTCTGAACAAGTGCCCTTTTAAAAAGAATGTGTCCAATCGGCCGTTCATGGTGCCTTTTGTTTAATTCTGCGCACGTATCGCCCTGAAAAAACACCATATATTGTGCACAATCGTCTGTTTTGAACAGCGCCCCCATCGACGGATGGTATCAGCCCCACCCCCCCTGCCCCCCCCCCCCCACACACACACCCAGTCGTGTTTTACTATACGCCTGAGGACAACCTATTGTGTTTCCCTTTGTCCCTGTACTTTAACACTTCCCATAGACTAAGCACGTAAACGTACGATCGAGGACAGTTTCGAACAAAAGCACCGTCGTTCGAGGACTGAAAGGATCTTTTGTTCTCCTTTGTGTGTGTCTGTCCTCGAGCGTACTACAAGACAGGAACACACCCACATACACACTATTTGACTTTACGGAGGCCAAGTGTCGGAGAAAAAAACATGTCTACATTTCAGCACGGATATACATGTGCAAAGTGCCATTTTAAAGAAATTTAACCCCCGCCCATAAAATGACCGTGCTACGCCACTGCTCAACTCAGGTTGTCATTTTGGTCTAATGGAAAACGCTTTATATACGGGATGTTTTGTCTTTCAATGCTACTCAACAGTACAGCTTCCTGCCCTCCCATCGCCAGTTTAGGCAAAAAGTACGGGATTCCATCCATCATCTTCGCGAGACAGGACGCAAGTGTGTCCAGGGAAGATTGGAAGCCAAGAAGAGAGGCGAGAAACTCCCCAACGACATCTTGACTTACATCTTGGATGCATCCAACGACCTGCAGGCGGATGCTGACTTCAGGATGGAGGAAATGCTGGATGAGTTTGTCACTTTCTTCCTGGCCGGTCAGTATTCCAGAATACGCCCACAACGCGTTCATACACGTTTGTTTAAGGTGTAAATCGAGGATTTCTTTTGTTCCTCTTCCCTTTTCCTTTGTTTGTACTATCTTTTTTTTGCAACAGCTCTCATTGGTTTTGTTCACGTTTGTAATCGAGGTCGTCCTCGATTTGGTTTCTGTCCTCGATTCATCGATGATGTTGCGCATGTGTGTCCTCGATTTACACCATAAACAAACGTATTCTCAGCTGTCGGTTTTTTGCATCAATCGATTGCAGTTATTGTATCGTTTGTCGTAAATTATTACTGAGACAGAAATGTTAGGCAATGGATTTGTTTTAGCTTTAAGCTGGTCACATTATTATAATGTAATATTTTAAATATAACAATGTTCTTAAAAGATAATCGACAGTAAAACAAAAACGTGTTTGAGCCTTGATTTCATGTTTATGGTTGCATGGGAACGCCTTTTTATATCTAGTCTCGATTTCGTGAACTCAGAAATCGTCCAATGCAACGTTTATGAACTTATGAAGTTATGATAATGATCACACAAAATGTCAAACTATTTATTGTGATAAGGTGGAAATCAGGTCTCATTTTCACGTAGCTGCGAAGTAGAAAATATAGTGAGAATTGTGTGTTAAGCAAAAAATGTTCAGACCATTCACAGACCATAAACATTGATGGACATTTTGGTAAACTGGTGATGCTGAGACATTATTTTTTGTGCCCTGCAAACTTCTCTCGATTTTTATCGAAACCTTTAACGATGACAGTAAATAATTGAACTGTTTTTTTGACCATTGACTTTATTAGGGCAAGAAGAGACAACAAATTTGATGGCTTTTATGTTACATGAGCTAGGACACCACCCTGAAATCATGCACAGGTGGGTATCAAACCTTATTTTCTAATTATTGCAGCTTAAAAGATAGCCTGCTCAAATGTTTGGTAATTGGGCACATATTTGTGCAGATACTCAGATTGTTCGCCTCCTCCTTAATAAGAGGAGGAGGAGTGCAGATCAAAATATGTGTCAATTAGTCAAACGACACGCTGTTGTATCAGCTACCCCGTAACCAACTTGCTCGTCTATATAAAGACTCCAAAATTCTGCTGCTCGTACTGTGATTCTGGCTCCTCAAGAGCCCATTCCACCCCAAATGTTGCAGTCGATGCACTGGCCCCCTGTTGCTGACCAGATAAGCACAAGCTGGTGCTGCTTGTTTTTCATTGCCGCGTGTTTCAGCTCCTGCATGCAACATAGGTTTATTTCAATTGATTTACAAACAGGAGGTTCTATCAAAAGTATTTGTAAGGCCGGATTGGTTTACAAGTGTGTCTCTGTGTGCCTCCTCCTCCTTAGCCTACAAGGATGGTCCATGAACTTGCAGTTGGCGCGTACCATGACATCTTTTTAAGTCATCTAATCCTTTGCTTTTCATGCATTTTGTTCGTTTCCAATAATAACACCACTCACAATCCAAGAAAAATGTTAAAAATCTAACCTAAGTTTCAGCTTAGTGGACATTGCACTTTTCAAGATGAAACACTGCATGCAAGGTGAAAACCATGCCGCACGACCTTTGATCACGAAACACTCTTTATAAAAAAAATCAGTCAATTGACTGATCGTTTATAGAGAAATCACCTACATTTCTAGATTTTCTCGAAATGACAGCAAATCAGACGGAATGATTCCACAGGGTGTGAAGTACCTGTACGTTCTTTAATCCAAGTAAACTTTTTGATAACAATTCGCTAGGTTACCTTTGGGATAAATGCAAATGATCCTATATGCCTTTAAAAGGTAAGCGTTGCAGAAGCTTATACTTTACATAAGAAGTGTAATTGAAAAGAAATCTCTCTACGATATTTTATGCTTGACCTCAGAGTGGTGACTGAAGTAAACGCAGTTCTTGGGGATCGAGACTACGTCGAGTATGCGGATCTGGCAAAGTTTGAATACTTGTCGCAGGTAGGTACACATTTGAAATAAAGCATACAGATCAAAACATCAACGGACCGTACCACCAACCCATGCTGGACTGAGCAGCAGAGAACCGTTGTCCATATATCGGTTTGGAATCAGTGGGCATGTTGATGATTATTTGTTAAGTGCAATTTCACCGACAACTGGTATGAAAGAAACTCAATAATTGGTTTAGTCAAGTATCATATTACCTTATTTTGGAAAGGCTTGCCTGAAGTTGGCAATGTTTGTTTAAACCAATGATGAACGAGAAGTTTAAGACCAGTGCAAAATTTGTAGGGCGTGTCCCGGTAGGAGAGCTTCAGACATTTTTTGGCAGAAATTCTCACACTTCATCGACATAATCCAAACTCCTCCAACTCAACCATGCAGGTGATCAAGGAGACGCTTCGCTTGTGGCCGCCAGCTTTTGGAACCAACCGCTTGATGGCGTCTGATGTCACCGTGCAAGGATTGAAAATCCCAGCGGGAACAGTTGTTTGGGTAAAGATATTTTTAAAATGTTGTCATGAAAAAGGAATTAGGCCTACAAAGATATAAACAGAAAACCTAAAAACCCACTACATCACCATTCATTAATCATAGAATATCCGAAGGCATTACGATAGGTCTAACCGATGAAGCAAATGCACGCAAATCCAACTTATCTATCCAAACATTAGGGGACAATATTATCATGAAAACCCTGATCACGAAAACCGTGGAATTCAAATAAATGTAAATGGGGATATAAACTGGTACACTGGACTTGCATTGAGACACGACTTCTCTATAGTTGAACTGAAAGAGTTTTTCTATTTTATTAACTATGTTGTCTTTTAAAGCTGAACACCTACGTAATGGGACGGATGGAGTCACACTTCAAGAACCCGCTCGTGTTCGATCCTGACCGGTTCCACAAATCCGGAAGTGAGGACAGGTGGGTTAATTATTGTATTGATAAATCCAAAAGATAAATAAGTGTTGTTTGAAGCTTTGTTGTTTGAAGCTCTGTGGTAAGTAGGGAAGTTTGTTTGTGGGGTACACAATGGACAGATCGCTTTTGTGAGAAGTGTTGGCTCTGAATAGAGCCTATGGTCATGGGCGTCGCCAGGATTTTTTCTAGAGGGACAATTTTTTTTTTTGCCAAAAATTGCTGTATTTCTCAACAATTCTCGATTTATCAGTTTGAGAGGGGGCAGGGACATTCCCCCCCCAACTCATTAAATTTACACCACTGTCTTCACGCCTCTTTTTTTTTTTTTTTTTTTTTTTTTCCTTTTTTTTTTTTGTTGCTTTTCCGGGGGGGGGGGGGCAAGTGCCCCCTTACCCCCCCCCTCGCGACGCCCATAAAACTCTGTCCGTCTTCAGGAAACAGAGTATACTGTTAGGAAAGGTCGAGACCGTACTCTCACCGTACCATCTGCTGTATTCAGAGCCAACCCTTCCTCACAAAAGCGATTTGTCCGTGGTGTACCCGCTAACCTATACTTCCCTACAATAGTTACATGTTCAAATTTATTCAAGTCTGCAACTTCAAAACCAACTCTGAGAAAGAAATGCCCTAAAAACTCTTGAAAGATACACCATGTGAAATGGCTTTACATAGGAAACTGGTTAATGAAAAGAAATAGAGTTGTTATTTCGATGCTTTGGTACGGTCACTGTACTTCATTCGTTTCTTTTTCAGACCGCTGTACGCTTACTTTCCGTTTTCCATGGGTACTCGCTCGTGTCTGGGACAGCCATTTGCACTGGTGAGATAAATTGATTTGCTATACTGGTCGAGATGCCCTACTCTTCATCTTAATTCTAAAGTTGAACAAAGAAATTGACTGTAGATCTTCACAGACGAAAATGGCGATAGCTTCATTTCGTGAAAAGAAAAGTGAGTGCATTGATTTGATTTTATCAGTGTTATAGACGAGTCGCACCAAGCTTGTACTTCCACGGCCAAGACAATTTTGCTCATGAGATAAAATAAAGATTGTTGACTCCTTTTCCATGTTTAGATTGAAGCTCGCTTGATCGTGGCCCGACTGCTTCACAAGTTCGAGTTCAAGCTGTGTCCAGGCCAGCCCCGTGGGGACATCGTTCAGCACGCGTCGCTCCAGCTCCGAGACCGATGCATGAATTACTTACACCTGTCCAACATTAGAATTTTTCCGGCATGCTATTATGTTTGCTGGACCTGATGATCTAGCCTTTTGTCCTCGGAATACTGAGTCACTGAGTGACCGACATGATGGACCGGCCGACTTAGGGATTAGATCCTGAATGGGACCGTTCGAGAACCGGGCGAGTGGGCTCGCCTAGTAAGCTGCCGCCACTCCGAACACTGTGCACCCCGGTTACTCAAGCGTAACGCTCAGTTGACTGCTGGAGTGGCACTCTGGGTCACAACAATAGCAGCTATCAACGGATTAGTGGTTATTGTTCGAGGATTACACTGCCCAACTCAGTCGAGGTTGGTTTGGAAGACACCTGGCTATCATTATATTTTTGCTGAATTTTATTCTATTTGAGCTTCATAGAATGCAAGTATTTCGTTTTTGCATGAAATCATTTGACAAATGAACTTGATACAATTGCCTAGTTTGCAAAGTTCCATATATAAATAATGGTTGTAAGCTACATGAGCAAGGGTTTTTTTTTCTTTGACGTTTTCGTAATACGAACGTTGAAATCTATATTCTCGGATTTGATCAAATGTATGAAATGCCTCATATTGAAGTAGTATATTTCCCTTTATGACGAACATGAATTGTTTTGCCTGTGGTAATAATTTGATGTTTTTGACGACACTGCACTTGCCCCTTATTCACGTTTATTCATACGCATTTGAAACAGGAAAGTCTGATACCCGTTTGTGAATAGAAGCTGGGCCCCCGATCGGTATGAATATTTTTTTGGGGGGGGGGGGGGCGCTAGGGGGCTTTAGCCCCCCCCCCCAAGATTTGTCAAGCCCCCCCCCAAATAAATTCCGTAAAAAGAAATTACATTAGCATAAAGAAGGATTGTGATGTACATGCGAACGGTCTCCCCCTAAAGAAATAGTCCTGACAAGGGTGCATTTGTAGTTAATATAGTGTGAACGATTTTAGGATTTTATTGGGCTCCCTACTGAAAATATGGCATGAGCCCCCCCACCCCCCCACCCACCCACCCACCTATTGATTTTCGGAGGCCTAAGTGTCTGGAGAAAATAACCGGTCTACATTGCAGCACGCCTCCCTGAAAAAAATTCTGGATCCACCCTGCTAGCCCCCCCCCCAAAAAAAAAAATTGGTTCTAGAACCGCGCCTGTGTTCACGTCTATTCACAAAAAGTCTACAACTTGTGAAAGACTACTGCATGGACCACGTGCTCGTCCGTGTACGGGACCTGGCGTCAAGCGAGCGCAGAGAAACCTTCTTTGTCATTATGAACGGTCTCCTCATGTCTTAATATCGAATACATACAGCGCAGCGGGGTTATACCTAACCCCCGCCCTGCAAACAGGACGCTGGGATACTCTGATGAGCTTCACAGAATCTTGTGAAGGAAGTGGCCTATGACCTATGTATAAAGCATCTGGCTGCAGCTGTTCAAGACCGCAGTTAGACAATGTGCGCAAATGCTATCCGAAAACTTCCCATAAAATTGCGCACATTCCATACTGGATGTGATATCTGTGTCATTGCGGACCATGTGGACAAAATTTTAGCGTCGCATAATGTAATCCGACCGTTCGTGAATCGAAACGGAGCCTGAGCGAGTGACAGGAATTGTAAATTAACAACACAGATAAGTTTTACAGAATTTCCAACATTATTACGCTTTTCAACGAGAAAAAAACATCTCTAAACTGGAATAAAAGAGTAATGAATCAGTCTTAACGGCCGTTTCAAACCTTGCAGAGTCATGACCTTGATCACGCGCAGGTCACTGGTCACGCAAAATCCAACCAATCAGAGCGTGGATTCATCAGAGTATCCCAGCGTCCTGTTTGCAGGGCGGGGGTACGAGCGAAGGGTGTCAGACAGAAAGTGTAATACACGCTGTAAACATAATAGTCTGATACCCTTCCACTATACTTTGTGATAAACGAAACTCCAATGTCGCAGCGAACACATTAATTAACTTATTGCTAATTAGTATTAAGTGGTCTAAGCTGACACTTTCCGGTCCAACTCGGCTACGCAAGCCTATTGTTTCTTCTCCAACCAAGTTTATTTACTTATCACAAGGCATGTATATGTATCGACGAATCCGGGCAGGTATTCACTTTATAATCTCACGAGGCCCCCTTCAATGGAGAAACCATTGTGCACACTAGCCTATTGCACAAAGCAACTGTCTCGCGTCGGATTATCTAGACAATGGGTCTTTGTGAGGGAATTGATAGTGTGCCCGGATTGGCCTGTACATATAACTGTCAATGGAAAAGCGTTCAGAAAATGTGAAATTGTTTCATTTGGTATAGGACTTGTTTACATTATAGGGAGAAAAAGCATTTAGGGGGACCTTTCAACTTCTATACCCAATCACTCCAAATTTTCCTCAAACAAAAAACCTCATAAAAACATAAAATTACTTGATATAATCCTCTAATCACTTGAGATATACCGTGCTTTGGTAAAGTGAGTGACAAAAGCTACTTGCAGAACAAAATAACATTGTTTCGGGATTCTGAGGGTGGTGATAATACCAAAGTCGTAAGAAATTTTGAAGCGAACAAAAATATGTCACACTGAATGAAATCGGATATTTAAAATGTAATTTTCTGACGAAAATTTAAACACATTTCTTAGTAAGGGGAAGCCTTCATCAGCGTATATCAATGCAAACACTCCTTTCTAAGGCAATAAATCAGAGTTTTTTATTTTCATTTCTCTTCTTTCATGAATTATTAAGACATTAACTGATCATGTGTATTAGCTATCTTCATTGAGAAGGGAACAAAGGCTCAAGTGAATTCATATTTTACCGTAAACACACTATTTGTTGCTTTGTAAATAGCTTTTTTTTCTTCTAAAACGAGCTAGTATTGTAAAGTATTAACGCCATTTATTTTTTATAAACAAAATGAACTTTATTATGTTTGTTACTTCAATTTCATAACAAAACTGTACAGGTGATCATTAGATTGGAGTAGAACAGCAATATACTCTTAAAAATAGGATTACATTTTTTCCGAGTAGCCTACACAATCCTGGTCCATCTTATATAGAAAAGGCCAATTTCCAGCCAGATTTTAATTGCCACAAACGAAATCTTTAGCGGTAGCTTTGTATAAGCCAAAAATATCTCATATCTATATCAAAAATAAGCGACAATGCCTTATAAGGCACATCTGTTGGAAATGAGAGTCAATAAAAGCCCGTGAGCGATCGATGCACAAATAGGTACTAGATAAAAATGTAACCTATGGACATGCAATCTCAGCTAGCTGACCTGAAAATGTCAAGGGACTTTTGTAGGAGTTGACCTCCATTGCCACTTGCAGGTTGGGGTGCACCATTGGGTATTAATATAGCAGAAGTACAACACAGTCGAACTTTGCTGCATTCAACTCCAGTATTCCAATTCAACAAAATGGCGGAGGCTTCAATACTGTATAGAATCACAGTGTTCTTGGCTGCTCTTGTGCCAGCCATTTTCCTGGTAGGATTTGTGGGGTTTGTGTTGTATCTATTCTACCAACACAAACGGTTTGCACACTTCCCGGGTCCACCACGAAGCGAGTAAGTGCATGCTAACAGGCAGAGCTGAGTATAAAAAATATACAAACCACCTCATGTTTTGTTCTTATTCTGTGTTCGATAACATCAGTGGCGTATTGTGCAGGGAACTTTGGGGTGGGGGATGGGGGATGACTACAATCAAACATTGCCTGTCCGTGGACATTTGAACTGCGGGGCGGGGGGGGGGGGGGGGTACTGGAAACAGCATGACAATAGGAGCCGCTGTTCATGATATAGATGTACATTATACTTACGCCCCTTAACCTTACATCAAACCGGCGAATATAAAGCTATAACTTGTACTTTTTCTCCCCTTACTATTTGTACCATGTACATTATTAGTAAAGTACTATCGAATACATCGTTGTTGTTGGGAAGTTTGAAAACAACCTCTCAATCCACAAAATATTAAACCCACAAAACTGTGGGATGTTCCAGTAGCCCCCCCCCCCCCGCTCAAAGAGTGTGGGGGATAGATACCCCCATCGCCCGGGATTTATGCCCCTGTTCGACATATGATGGACAGTCAACACCTAAAACTATTTACCTAACGAGGTAATAAGATGCATTTCGTGCATCGAGGCAAGAAAACATCATCACACGTACTGTCCCATCTTTTTGTGCATTTACTATGGTGGCAGGATGATAAAAATCCAATTAATGGTGAAACAGTATGTACAACTGACGATGAAAATATCAAGTTTAATTGCAACATTTTGAAGATATGGAGAGGATGGGATTTGGGCAGTTGTTTTGGTGTACCGTTTCACCACTGCTTTTACGAAGTGAAAAGATATTCCTCCCACACACCGTCCTACCATTAGCTATTTTCAATTAAAGGCATTATCAATTGCATTTATCCCACGAGTATACATTGCGAATAAAGATCAAAAACGTATTTGGATAAAATATGGTACTGATTTCAAACACCCCGTGAAATGATTCCGTCTGGCTTGCTGTCTTTTAGAAGAAATCAAGAAATGTTAGGTGATTTCCAACGATCAGTCAATTGACTGATTTTTATAATTATTACTATTATTATTTATTCGGCCAACAAATGAACAAAAGTACAATGACAAAGCAAATATATATCATAAAGTAAACAAAAACTGAAAATTAAAAAAGTATTACCAGACAAGACAGATGGGACTGAAGGATGCGAGAAGGAAGGGGGGGGGGGGGGAGAGGGGGAAAGGAAGGGAGGGTGGACAGTTTGACAGGAGAGAGGAGATACATCATAGAGGGACAGAAAACAAGGACAATAAAACATTCCAAACCGGCCAGGGTAAGCAAAAGTGCACTTAAACACTGTAGCCCTAAGGCCTGCCCACCCATGCCGAAATGTCTACACAATAATTAAATAGATCTTTCACAAAATGTATACAATATAAATATGAATAAATGAAAAACAAATGAACAAAAACCACGCATGCACCAAGATGCGCTTCTTTTAACTGAAAGCTTAATGTTGCCTTCGCAAATTATTGTTCACAGCTTCTTTACCGGCCATGTCAGGCAGATGATTGACCGTATCAACACCGGCTCCTCGCTGGCAGAATATCTAACGGACCAGTAAGTCTTGAGAACTTCCCTTTTATCTCGCTGAGAAATTGTAATAAAAAATCGAACTGTAACACGGATAGACCCGTCTGTTACCAATAAAAGACGTGACAGTCACTCAAAGTCAATTTTTAAAAAAAGTTAAGGGAAGATTTTAAGACAAACGCATAATCTCGTATCCATCCGGAAAGTCACTGTTCTTTTATATTGTTTCTCTTTTTGGGGGTTGCTAGTTTGCATACAAGTTCAGTTTAACTTGGACGATAAGATATAAATTTCAATTGGATCTAAACTCAGTGTTTCTGGTATCTTGTGTATATAAAACTGACAATAGATTCATAAATAGTTGTGGCATAAGATGTCAATTTGTCACCGACATGACACCACAATGTCGTCCCTTAAGTTTTCTTCCGAAAATATCAGCCAAGCTATATAAAGTAAAAAAATCATTTGATAATGTAGAAAATCAGGATATGGTGGATTGTGTTGCTGCTACATGTGCGAACACGTAGGCAAACACGTGTACACCTAGTCTGAAATGCACCATTTCTGCGCCAATGTCTCTTTTGTGTCCTCCAGAATGAGAGCATACGGACAAGTCTACCATC